ATTTGTACATAAGCTGACTGATTCTCGTACATAAAATGAATCTACATATAAAGCTCTTGGAAAATGATTTGAATTTATGTGAGAGAGAAGGAAAAGTGCGGACTTGTGATATGCATAAATGTATGTCTGCATTTTCTGAACAAAATGCAAAAGAAGTAAACAAAAACAAGTAAATAAATTTCCCCAGCCACCTAATGATATCATTTTATAAGAAGGTTGAGCAGAAATCAAATCGAGGTTTTTGTAAATAAAAAGAGTACATTTCCTTTTCGTTTTTAGTTCACTTTGCAGTTCATTTGATTTATTCCTCTTATAGGAAGTTCACTTCCAACATGAGTTCACTGTTTTTGGGTGAATGAAATCAAATCACATGCAACTCATTAGACGCTAAAATGTTGATAACGAAAACAAATAACAAATCGTTATGCGGCTTAAAACTCAAAATGGAAAAGCTATCAGAATCTCTAATCTTGGGGAAAATATTTGCCCACCATTCAGCTTGGCAGTGATGGCATTTCAATTAAAGTGCAAAAACACACGCAGTTTGAACCCAAACCCTCTGCTTTCCCTCATGCAATTCGTGAAAATAATTGAAATACGCCCACATCGTGGAAAACTGGGCTGTTGGAGGGGTGCTAAAAAATGCTCAAAAGTTGCCGACTGCATATACAGGAAAATTCCATGCAGTCGGCAGCTTGACAGTAAAAGCAGACTTGGCAACTTTTACAATTTTATCTACTGCAGAAGAAGAAGTGAAAAAAAACAATCTAGAAAATATCATATGTGCATCCATTCACTCAGCACTATTCATCCACCGCACTTTTATGTGGAATCTGAGCTGCAACCATATGCTGCTACATATTTCATGTGGCATATATATCTGTATGTATATGCAACTCAATCAAAACCAACTTTAACTAGAAACTCTACATTCGGAATTCACTTCTAAAATGAGTTAACTTTACAAGCCAGCACTTATTATCAAAACAGGGGTAACTTTGTGGGCAAGGTCACTTGGAGAAAATCATGTCAAGTAAAGAAAAATCTCAAAAAATATTATAGTATGAATTTATTATATTTAATTAATAAAGGTATAAATACAAATATCTTTAAATAATACCAAAATATGATCCCCTTCAGAAGAAAACCACCAAGAATCTTTAAATAGAACTTATAAACTTGGATAGTTCAGATTAAACTGCTTAAGAACTATGATTTATTCTACCTTTTATTGCCATTTTTATACCCCTTTTCCTCTCCATATAAAACCCAAATCGAATATATATATGGCTTAGAAGTCAAGGAACTTTAAGCTGCTTTTTACCCAGACAACTTTTACCCGCACAATTTGTGTTTCTCTATGTTTTCTTATTTTCATTTCGTCTTGTCATGCTCAATCTAAATGAGAGATGAGTTGTCCGTATGTCTGTCCGTTTGCCCGTCCGTTGGCTGGTCAATTTGTTGCGGCCATTCAAAAGGCGAACATGTGAGAACAATTGAATCGAGACTTACAGTTATAACTGCCAACGCAGTGCGTGTGGGTAGATAAATTACGATGACCGGATAATGAGTTTGTTAGATACATTCGGAAAAAACCAGGAAAAAATGTGAAATTGGCACAGAAACGTGCTATGAAGCTGAGGGGGGCTTAAATTAAAAATTTATATAGGAAAATGTTTGCATTTGAAAGGAATGTAAGTTGAAGTAATGAAATATTAATAAACCAAATTGAAATCTTCTTAAAAACTCATTTACTTAAGCTCAGTACTGCTTCTTTGTCAAAATACTTTAAACTTAAAATCATTTTAAATCTTTTAGTTTAGAAATAACCCCCTCAAGGTCATTAAGAATATATATATTTTACCAAAAAGAAAACAGAAATTGGAAAATTCGCTGCCACAGAAACCCGCCAGATTTAATCAGCTTAAGTAAGTACCCAAAGAGAGCGGTTCGGATACGCAGTTAAATAAATCTCTTATGTGGGTGGTGTGCCACTATCGTCAATGCTGTGGTGCTGTTTTCGGCAGTGCCAGTGGTGTTGTATGTGGTGGTGGTGGTGCTACCTTAATAAGAACAGCCGTTGTAGCTGTCAGTCAAAAACGCCCCGGCACAAATCTCTCGGCGAAGTCTTATGAATAATCACTCGGCGGCAGTGTAAAAACTTGGCAAAAGTGCGAGCGTAACAAAATAAAACGAAACCCGAAAAGAAAAGAAAAATGTATTTCAAATGCGCAAAACCAAAAAAGAAAATAGAAAATGTGAGGAAAAGCGTCTTTTAGGCAAACATCTTAATAATGCTGGGAAATTTGCGGGAAGAAAGCGTGAAAGGGTTCAGAGGGGGATGAAGCAAATAATGCTCACATGTCTGCCCCAAAAGATTGAGATTTTTAATTTGAAATTCATGCGGCATTTTACTTTTACACCTCAAAAAAAAACAACAAAAAGTGTAATACCTTAAGCTGAGTACTTAACTCAATTCTATCGAGTGGGAAGGAAGGTCGTGAGAGTCACCTGCCGACCACGTATGTCAGCTTATTTCGAGATACAAAGATACAAATTACAAAAAGGGGATTTGCGAGGGGTTCGCCTCGATTAATATGCAAGCAGTGCAGCTAATAAAATATATATAATTGCTGTCTGATTCTTATTTAGCCAGACTGTCTGTTGCATAAAAAGTGAGCAGAAATGATCGACTTGGGGCTTGACTAATTAAGGCGGAACTTGAGCGTGGCTTAACTTCAATGTCAACGACAGTGCGTACCGAAAGTATAATACATAATAATGCTGATTGATTGTCAGCTAGAGAAATAGAAGGGGGTTATAAATAACAAAACAACTTTTAATAATTAATATATAATTTTTGAAAGCTTTCTTAGCTTATGAAGCCCACTGTCACCCTTAGCTGTCTATAATTTAGCAGCCATTTACAGAGCCAACTATGCGTAAGAAGCCCAAAATAATTAAGTTAACAATTTGGCTAATTGCGCTTGCACTAAATGCAGTTAAGCTAACGCACAATTAATTCACAAGAACGGCAAGACGAGAGCCAAGAATTTTAATATCTATTTTTCAATGCCTCATATTACAGGGGGCCCTCGAATACATGGAAAGCAGAGGGAATAGTAAAACATATTAAAGATGAGTAGAGGAAGATCTCGAGTTCTAGTTTTTCCCAAGTACTCGGCCATTTGTTTTTCCTGTCAGTGTGTCAAACCGAAAATGTGGCGACGATGTCTGTTTATTTAGCACGTTCTTTTGGCTCTAGCTACTCGTCTCCCTCAGATTTCATCTGGTGCAAGTTCAGACAGCCAGCCAAGTTCTTCTTCTTCTATTCTGTTTTCCTGGTAGCATACATTTTCCTTCTTTTTTTTTTGTCTTCTTCGTCTAAGTATTTATAAATGAAACTTGCCTTTGTTGTCATTTATTACTGTCACTTTAAATCCAATCAACGCTTTGTCTATGCTCTCAGCATCGATGAGCGATTCTCCCTGTCGTTTTCCCTGGATTTTCCTTATGTTTATCTTCGATTTTTGGCTTTAGTTTTGGTTTGCCTTCAAGTGTCTTGAAGATAATTTTAAGTTTCATAATCTATTTTGGCATTTTTGGGCGATAAAAATAACTAGTGATTCTTGAAAGTAATTCAATCTGGAAAGCTATTGCATCATTTGCTGTTTTTTGTTTTAGAAATATTAAATTTATTTTGTAGTTTTTCAATTTCTGTAGTTTCTAGTTTGGAGAGCAAGAAAAATGTTTGGCACATGCCAAAAAAAATACAGAAAAATTATGAAACAATAAATAAAATGCTAATTGGTAAGGCAAACACCGAGGAAGCGAATAACAAAAACTTTAAACTCTTAATTGCCTGGCGCCAGACGATCGTTTTTTAATATCAAAAGTAAAGCAAGTCCCCCAATGACGTTGACGAACTTGAATGTCGGTCTATAAACTCGTATATATATAAATATTTCCCCGAAAAACTTCGCTTAAGGCACAAAGGTTCCCATTTAAAACTGTTTACTCTCATTTTTGTGTCACGAAATGCTTCATTAAAAACGCCACTTAAGGCAAAAACAGGGCATTAATAATCCCGCCAAAGTCCGCAATCATTTATTACCAGGAAAATTACAGGAAAAGATTACAAATTTGGCAAACTTGAGAATGACTCATAATGGGGGAAATATTGTGGACATTTTGTAATGGAGGACAATTCATTAATTTTAATTTATTTGCAGAGGGTTTGTTAATAAGTTTAAATATTAAGAAATGAATAATGGTCTTTATGGGATAGTTTATTTTTAAAGCTACCCCTTTTTATCACTTTAAATTCACTTAATTTAATCATAATCATAATGTTAAGTAAGAAAATCCCTTTAAAGTGCATTTTTATAAACCTTATTACCTTACTTTGCTGTCCAGTGCCTCTAAAAATGAATATTAATAAGACACTCACAACGTAAACATCGCCCTCAATCTCATGTAATAAATGAATGCAATTTACGGACAGCAACTTAGTGAAATTATAGGTTGGAAAATTTGCCCGCGACTCAAACTGAGCCTGAGTGCCTGATGAAAAATTTAAAAACAAGCAAAGAGCAAAACAATTTTCATAAATATGCCACTGAGGCAAAACTTGGGCGAAAGCTGTGAGAAAATAACGTAAGAAAAAAAAAATAAAGAGAGTAAAAACCTCAAAGCGCATTAACGCCTTTAATGGCCTTGAGACGAGCAGAGTTCTTGCTTTTTTGTGGGTGGGCTTTTTAGGTGCACTTGGGGAAAATATTATATAAAAAGGGAGCTATATGGATGGAGATATTTTGATATGAAATGGATGACTTTTTTTCTAGAAAACTCTTCCTCAAATTTTAGGCCTAATTCAATACTTTTTACGAAACAAAAGAAGTAAAATACTTCAATTTCCCTCATTTACAGACTATGTAACTACTTTAAAGATATATGTAAACAAGATTTTCCCGCGTGTAAAAGAAAATGTGAAAACTCACCTTAGATTTGGGACAGCCGCCGCTGCTGCCGCCGCTGCCTGCAGAGGCGGAGGCACGTTGTACGGAAAGGGCAACTTGGCCGCAACCGCCGGATTCTCGAACAGCATTCTCGCACTGTTTTGGGGGTGGTGCTGAATCTGGAGGTGGGTGGTGGTGTTGGTGTTGTTGATGCCGCTTGGGGGGTTGATGATGCTGCCGGTATCTGTTTGGGTATTGGTATTGGTGTTGGTGTTTATGTTGAAAGCGGAGTTCCCAAAGCAGTAAATTTTGCTGGCTTTTTCGCTTATCCCAAGACACACGCTGAGAAAATCACTTTAATGCTCTCTCGCACCAAATATATTTGTTTTGTTTGGTTTTCTTTTCTTTTCTTTTTCACTTTTTAGTTGACTTTCTTCAACTATTTGTTGAAGCTTTTTATATTTTATAACCGCACTGATAAATATATTTGTTTTTCTTTTTTAGGTAATACTCATTTTATTAACACCAAGATTTGCTGGCAAGGTTTTAGATTTTCTAGAAAAAGAGATTTGAGTTTTGATTAGAAAGAGTTAAGGTGGAGGAATTTTATAATTATTAAATATAATTTTTTAAGTTTTTTTACTTAAAAATAATAATGGAATGATTTTTCACGAAATTTTCAAACCATAGTCATATTATTTTTTAAGATAAGTTTTTCAATATTCAAGTATTTAAGTTCAATATTTTAAAATCTCAAATTTTATATGGCATGCCTTTCATAATATTTATCATTTTTTAACCACTTTTCCATTTCCCATGACTTTGTTTTTTTCATTACAGCATTAATTTCATCGTTTTTTGATGCTCTTCTTATTTTTTCTTTTAAGATTTCATTGTTTTTGGCTTTATGCTTTTACTTTCGTTATTTGGCATTCGCTTTTGACTCTTGCTTCTTGCCTTTCAATGCTGAATTCTGAATTCTCTTTTGCCATTGCCGGCTTTTTCAACACATACACACACGCCAGCATACACACACGTGCGTGGTGCTCTCAAAATGGTGATAAAATATTGTTGTTTTTGCCGTTGCGGTTTGATAAAATTTCACACAACGCTTTTAATTAAAAACGCTTGAGTCTTCGCTAGTTTGCATAGTTTTATTTTTTTTGGTTTTTGTGATAGTTCTGTGCCGGTTTTTGTATTAATTTTTCATAAATTAAATCGATTTGCTTGAACAAAAACACATGCACACGCATACATAAACATAAATTCATGGCGCAACAACAAAATTTCTGCGACGTCATTGAATTCGCCGCAAAAGAATACGCAAAAACGTGAAAAGGAAACAAAAAAAATTAAAAAAAGCGTCCCTCAAAAAAAAAACAAAAATGTCTTCAAGTTGAGTCACTTACACACACACAAATACACCAGTACGTAATACACACACACTTGTGCAAATAAACGACGCGTGACGAAAATTACACGGAAAATACTCGCAAAAAATACCACGAGATTCGAAAATCCGTCCGTTTCGAACAAGGAATTTTTTTCAACTAACGGAAAGGAGCGGCTGTGAAAAGTTTAAGGCTAGCTTAGCGAACTTCGCCGCAAACTGCGCTGAAGCGCTCGCAATCACTCGCTCTCTGGGTCTTATTCGCTCTCTCTTTTAGTTTCTCCCTCTGTGTCGGGCGCTCTCTCTCTGCAGGACTTGAATACTCAGAATGAAAAAAAGGAGAAGGAAAATAAAAAAAAATGCTGGGATGCAACATGCGGCTGAGTCAGTTAATGACGTACCAATCTCTTGCCCCCCTTTTTGTATCTCTTTTATCACGCTTCCCCCTTTTCGCTGTGATGGTACTACCATCTCGCCCCACCCCCACATAATCATTTCCGATGTGCAGTTGCATGCAGTTTCCCCAGACAATAGGCCTATATAGCCATAAAGTCGCATATAGTCGCATATAGGCAGCAGACTGAGTCGCCCCAACGAGCGTCTTTATAGCCCGCTTTGTTCTCCACGATGTACAGTGGTCTTTGGAATAGTTGTATGACAGTAAGGGTTATCCTTTTCTGCTTAAAGTCAAGTTAAGTTTTTGCTATATTGTTAAAAAACTTTTTGAAACCACTTCTCTAGCTTTTTCATTTCAATTTAGTTTTTTATTTTATAAAATGAATGAATGAATGAGGTTACTAGAAAATAGCCCCATTCACAGCTAAAGTCAAACTCAATGTTTAGTTATTACTTTAAGATGAAAGGAAAACCATAAAATATGATACAAAATGTTTTTTTTGCCTATTTGTAAAAAACAATGGAATGTTTCTATGACATATTTGTGAGCAAATAAAGTATAAACTCAACTTAAAGAGAGTTTGAAAAATATTATTACATACATCATAACAATTATCCAGAGAGCTTAAGATGTTTAATATGAACCCGTAACTTTTGTCATTGGGAAAATCCAAAAAACAATATTCGCAGGTTACAAAATTGGAGCACTGACTGTACTTGACTTGCTGTGTGTTTATCTTATTTTGTTTGCTCAGCTCGTATTTCTTTTAAAGCTCAGCTCGCAGCTGACGCATTTTGTTGATTTTGATTGCTTAAAGCTGGGAAACAAAGAGTAATTGTTTAATTCGGTTGAAGGAAAGGATTGCCAGCTATTTCGCTTTGATTTATGTCAAATTTACAAATCAAATTTATTTCGGTTGCCAAGTGTCAAGTAAGTTTATGTGTTATTTAAGGCTAATTAATTTAATTGTCACATTTCAAGTCCCTGAGTTTTTTCAACTCTTTATTTAGCTTAAGAAATCACTCGTCTTTTAAATATTATCAAAATATTGAGACTTCTGATTATTGCACATTCCTTGGCTTTGAAGGAAATCCCAACTCACGTCCCCTGATAATATCGAATAACTCATATCATCAATTTCCTGGAAATGTATTTGATTTTTCTCAAGTGCTTTGACGCCTTGCTTTTCTTATCGTACAAAACTCGCTGAGAACCACACAAAACCGAAACACAAAATTGTTATTGATAAAACTGAGCTAGTCACCGACAACAACAAAAACAATAAACATTAACCACAGCTTGTACTTTGATAATAGCTATTTTTCCACTTAGTATATATATAGTATACAGAAAGTTCTGGTTCTGTAATGGGGTTTTTACTGTAATATTGTACGGTTTCAGAAGTGAACAAATGTAGATCGAACTTTTTGAATAATTTTATTCCAGCTTAATTGGATGTTGTATCGATTTATAAGCGAATCACTTATTTAATTACACATGTTTTTATTTAGTCAATTTACTGGGCTACTTATCGCCCTGAAAGTTCATTGTTTTCTATATAATTAAATTACACATTTAATTTATATCTTAAGCTTTTGTTTTTTAGTTGATTTTGGGTCTTCTTACTCATCGCAAATCAAATTTGCGTTTTTGTTTTGCGATTCATTAGTTAAACATATCATTAGTTAATAAACCATGAAAGTTGATATTAGATTTAATGATAAATTTTATTTATAATCTTAATAGCCATGAAATACATATTTTATTCAGTCGCTCAAGTCATTGATTCGAACAAAAGCTTGATGGGTTTTGTTTAGTGAGATTTTGGATCTGATTTTTAATTAATTTGCATGCACTCGCAGCTGTTTTTATGGATGCGGTTTTGTTCATTTAGCTTAACAATTTAACACGTAATTTAATTCAGTCATGCAATATATTGGAAAACCATTTTCTTCTAGGAGGGAAAAAAACACAATTACTTTTCAATGCGCGGCAAACAAAATTTGAGCTTTGTTTGTTTGTTTATTTTCCATTAGCCGACTTCGGGGTTTTGATTTCGATTTTTTTGGGCCTAGTCGAGAATTGAGTCAAGACCTGGCTTTATCTGCATGCACAAAACGGAAATCAACAACGACAAAACGACGACGACACGATGACAACGGATCCACGAATCGCTCCGCTTCGAATCAACTGGCAGTTGTAACGGTCGCAAGCAAACTGAATCCGAAAGATACGGCTGAACCGAACCGAAAGATACAGATACAAATACCAGTACAAACACAAGCGACCCCCGCGAAAAAGTTCTCTCGGCCGCCTCTCGCTTTAATTTTTGTATTTCATGTATCTCGCTCTTTCTCTCAGTTGTTTGACGTTTGCGGCAAGCATAATAAAATAACACCAGTGGTCGAGTTTTTGTACTGAAAGATACCCAGTGCTTGTATGGCGTAAATTTTATAATACGCAAATTTAAGTAATCAATAATAATTTTATTATTAGTAAATGTTTTTGTAAAAGAATTCCTTTGATTTAACATTTAAACCAACTATGCATTAACAATATACCCCACAAATTCAAGCATTAAAGGGTATTCATCAAAGAGAGCGGGATCGTTCTCTCTCACTATCACTCATTCTCTTGCCATGCCAACAACCACCCACAACATAAACGGTTTCCTAGCCCCACCAACAGCAATAACAAAAGAGAGCGGGAGAGCGCGTTGTTATTTTGCGGCGAAGTCTCTCAAAAAACGCCACTTGGGGAGACGGCAACAACTTTTGGCGTTCATATTGTTGTCCCCTTCGCACTTAAGCGTCTGTTACTTCCGGTCTCAAATGCTGTGGCTTAGTGTTTGTTGTTTTTGTTTATAGCTTCTGGTGCTACCGCTGCTGATGTTTTGGTGTTGTTTTTTTATGCTGGGGATAAAAATGAGCATCTTTTGGTATTTTATTGGTATTTTTTTGAAAGGTATTTGAAATTAAAATCCTTGATAATTGAAAGAAATTCAAGGGAAAATATTGCAAAATTTACATTTTGAAAATTTTTTTTTTTAGATTTTGACCTTTTTGAGAACGCTTTTAAATCAATTTGTTTAATTTATTGTTAAGATAAAAGACCATTCTTGGTAATAAACTCACGAAATCAGTCAAAAAACCGCTTTTCCTTAATCCAGTTCTACAGCATAAATACCCATTTTTTTTATAGCTTTTCAGTCGCCTGTTGCACCCACCTCAGTTACCAATTGGCAGCACGCCCCCGCAATATTCAAAATTTACACAAATTAAATTTTTTGCTGGAAATCACAGACTGGGTTTGGCGCTGACAAATCAGCGGTAAAAAAAGTAAAACAATAACTTCAACGGCTTATTAGGCGGCCTAAAAACATCAAAGGCCGCCCCATTCCTAAGCAATATTTCATGTAATTTTCCTTTCTTTTCTTTTTTATTTTTTATTTCTTTATAATTTACAACAAAACGCGCAACAAGCGCAACGAGTTTTCTGCAGTCCACCAGCTGACGGCTAAAAGAGTTTTTTCTGTAATGTTTTGTTATATTTTTTATTTTGTTTGTTCCTTTTTTTTTGCTGGCTCCTTTTTTTGGTTGGAACTCAAGAAACTTGTTTGCCGAGCTGCAGGCGATAAAGAAGAAGAAATATATAACAATAGCAACAGCAACAAACTGACTGAGGCAGACAGGTCAAAGGAGCAGCAGTTTGTACCCCATGCCACGCACGCCCCCACTCCTAACAGACGCCCCTCTTGCCACGCCTCCACAGAAGCAGCAATAAATTCTGCCAGCAAGCGTCTTCGATTAGTTCGGAAATGGCGAAAGAAGTGAGTGAAACGAAAAAAAAGAAAATGTTCTGAGAAAATGCCATTCTTTAGTTCGGCGACTAAGTAATACCAATATTTTTTACAGCTCTAAAAAATATAATGAAAATAATAAAAAGACTTTTAAAAAAAGATGTAATAACTAAACTAACTAACTAAAGTGCTAACATAATAAAGATATTCTCTTACTTAATTCAGAAAATAAACATTTAAGCCCTTAAAATATATTTCAGAGTCTAGTAACAAGATTCCAAAAGTAATCCTTATGTGCTCAGTTCTTTCATTTCCAAGAACCCAACCATAACTATAGGGTATCTCTGGCAAGACACGACTAACTTCCGACCATTGATGGCAATATTTAGTCTGCAACTGATGTGGCCCGAGTTTATTACTGTTCAAAGGTAAGAATTTATAGGAAACTGCGCATTCAGCAAATTTGGGTCATAAAAGTAATTAGTGAAATCTGTTCCAGTCGAGATTGGTATTGTGGGTGGATTTTAATTACCGACCAGAAGTTCATGAAAGTGCCAAGAAGTTGCCCCTCCATTGGCTAATTGATTTAGCTACCATTTTATTGATCAGCCAGAAAAGGAGTGCAAACCTTTACGGGCCCCCCACTAGGGTTAAGGGCGGTAGTAGGGTGTTAACCAGCAATGGGCAACATCGGTTATTGGCCTATTAATGAAAGAGCCATAAAATTAAATAACGATTTATTAGTGACTTTCAGAGCGTCAGAGATTTAAGGCTTTACAGGAGATATTTATGAAGGTCTGTTAAGTTTTCAAAGAGATTTATTGGTAGTTAAATAATGGTTATAAATTATGAATATTAAAAAGTAAACTTAAATAAATTATATAATATTTTAAGGCTAAAATATATATTTTATCTTTTTCGAATATCTTTTTAAGTTTATTTAACCACTACGAATCTTTCTTTTGTTTCATAACAATAAGATAGACCTTACTCCAATCATAAAATGTCCTTGAATTGCTTATAATTATAAACACATAGTGCTTAGTCATAGAGGGATTCCAACAATTTCCTTAATGCTTACGTAAGCAAATTTACGTAAGGACACTTTATTCGTTCCTCACAGAGATTAATGTCCCCAGCAAGCTCTTAAGTCCAATTTGGGTCGTAAAAACTACTCCTGGATGAAAATTTTATGACTCTGACGATGGTCTTTGGTACTATATGGCACTATATGTACATGTAGGGCTACATGTAGGCTTGCAAATCACAGTGCTGTTGATGTTCCTGCCTGCGAATTGTGCGCATAACAATTAGGCAGCTTAGGCTGCTTTTGCCACCGAGAAACTGAGACCCAGACTGCATGTATCCAATGCCATAAAAATATCAGGAACACATGTTGCCTGCCGCTGATTTTCTGTAGATTTTAGGGGGAGCAGTGGGTGTTATGGGGGGGAGGGGGGTATTTTTCGGGCTGGGGGGTGGCGAAATGCTGTCGTCTGCCAGGCCTGCCACGTCTGGTTAATGAGCACGTTTGCATCCGTGGGAAAGAGGCATAATGAAGGGATATACTCGTATACCTAATCACTATACAGGAGTCTGGAAATAACTAGATGAAGTTAGGTTGTTGCCAAAAACGCTTTCTAATAATCAGATTATAAATGATTAAGTAACAAATAACAAATTTTATTTTATTAATTTTAACAAACCAACTTTCGCCTAAAACCAGGCAACACAAAAGTTTATTTTCCCTGCAGCCCCACGGTATGCTGCACTTTACCTTTTACTTTCCATGTCTCTTTGAAATTCATTTGCCATATGTGAGAAAGAGGACTAGAGTAGTAGGAGAACTTAAGCAAAGTATGAGAAGTTGACCTTAACAAGCATAATATCATCAATCAGTGCACAAATTTGCATTTCACTTTAGCCTATTTCTGGCACATGAGGATAGCATGCTGTCTGTCCCGGAGTCGTTTTGGCCATATCTTGTCGCTGTTGTCCGCCTGTCGTTGTCGGCGCATCAACGCGCTTCATCAGCGACCGGACTGATATGTAAATCTCATAAATCATGCACACCTGTCGTCGATGGCAGCGACAGTTCAGCTCGGTTTTGCTCAGGTCAGTCAGGACGACAAGGACATTGTCAGCCGACAGATGGACACAGGGTTGGCGGTGGTGCATATGCATGTCCAGCTTTTGTGGCGGTCAAGCCTTCGGATCGGGTTCATACGAAGTGGGATTTCTTTTTTTTTAATATATTTTATATGTTTTATTTTTATATAAATTTAAATACAATTATTTATTTTTAATTTAAAACTCAGCCTGAAGTTTATTTCATATTATTATATTATTATTATATTATTTCTATACATTTTCAATCGGTTATCTTAAAGTAGTTTAAGTCCATCTTTTATATTAATTTTTTAAGTTTATTTTAAGTTTATTTTAATTTTTCAACTACATATGAACCTTGCCCAGACAATGGGAAAATTGAGCAAAAATCCTGGTCAGAACCAATGAACGTGTATTTTTCTTGGCCAAAGCTGGGGGTATGTCCAGCAAATTGATTAGCTACGTGCAGCCAGATGCTTCCTTCCCCTTGGCAAAGTCAAGAGTTGTGGCCTGCAGAATGGCTAATACATGAATTCAGACTGCTGTCTTTAAGCCATTTCTTTGAGGCAAAAACTAGCTTACTGTTTTTTGGAATATTTTTTATGTTTTAGCAGAAGTGAAATACATAAATAAATATATTTAATAATAAATTTATTAATATTTATAAAAGAAAACGCAAAACATTTCGAAACCATCTAAATAACATAAAAAGCCTCTAGGCTTCCCTCTCCCAATTCTTAAGGTGGCCATCATAAAAGGGATTCTGGTCTGAACTCCCACTAATTGCTCGGCCACAACACCTGCTGCCTGCTGTTGTTAAGATGGTCTTTTTGGACCTGTGCCCTGAAGAGATGTTCAACCGGCAAATGGGTGGAAAAAACCACAAATTTACATAAATATGCCACAAATCATAGAGCTGGCGTCGTTCTTGCAACTTGCGGTCCATGTGACAGTCTCTGGTTATTATGAATGCATAAAAAGCGTTCATAAGTTCATTTTTTACAACCACACTTTCATTGCAATTAAAATACCAAAAAATAAAAAACGTATGGCTAAAAAATATATATGGCTAGGGTCTATAAAAAATACCAAGGAAAATTTATGAGCAGCACATGCCACGCCTGAAACTAAAGGGTTTTCCCTTAAATTCTGCTTGATTTTCCTTTCCTTTCTTTTTTAGCGCATTTTTGCGGTGTGAAACGCACGTTGCATAATAATAAAAGTGGAAATTGGGGGAGTGGCCCTTGAATGCTTTTGGCTTTCTCCAGCCCCCAACCCCCTGGTAAACTGCTGCAATTGTTTGTCATTAGCAAATGTTGCCTTTTCGGGCACTTTACGAGTTCATTCCCACACTCCATATGTCCTTGTAGGTAGGCTTTGCCTCCTGTGGCAGACAAAATTTGTGACTGCGACAGTTTGTCCGGTTGGGCCCCGTTTACCCCAAACCATCGAGTTGGCACATCCCTTCGATAAGAGGAGGTTCTCTCATTTTTAACGCATCATTTGGACATTTTATGTAGGTGCAACATTGCAACATTGCAGCACAAAACATGGCAAAACATTGCCTCAGGCTGTTTCAGGAAATGTTAGAGCAGAATCATAAAGTACATGACGGCAAAGTTTGATTAGATGGAATGAGTATTCGAATTTGACTTTTAAATTTAAGAAAATTATTACAAATTTTTACCAAATACAAAGAACTATTTCATTTTTATATATTTTAAACTAATTTTTCCATTTTTCGTAATGCAAAAATCAAAAACTAAACTACAAAATACCCTTAAAACATTCACTTCAGCTAACTTTTGATATTCCCCCACTCAATGCATTTCATTAAAAGTCTGCTAAACTTTTCAATGTAAACAATTTGTGAACTCACATCAAATTAAGTGAACTTAAATCAGCAGTTATCCAAAATAAAACCCAACCCCTATTCGACACCCCTTTACCAACCCAACCCCTAGACATATGAAGCTTTTTATTTGATAAAATAACGAACTCTTTTAATGAGCTGTATTTCTTTTTTCCAACGGTTGCCGCCAAATTAATTTTAGCCTTCTGAAGGTATAAATATACTTATTCCACCAGAGGCGACAAAATAAAAGCTAGATGATGGTTTTCAATCTACTCTGCTGTCTTATAAAGTACGAAACGATTTTAATTTGTGCATTTTTTTCAGTCATTGCTCAGTGCTAAACGGTTGACTAAATGAAAATGTAAATTACAGCAAAGTTATGGACTCATTTTGGAGCTCCAATACGCGGGATACGAATGTAGATGGAACTTGAGTTTATGAGCACATTAAGCCCGCTTGTAGCCACATGAGACTTCTAGTCTCATCTCATTAGAGTAAACTTTTTCCCAGGATCCAGCGGAACGTAAATAGATTTTGAACACAAATTGCAAAGGCTCAAGTACAGCTGAGGTTTATGGGATGGATGGCTTAGGATTTAATAAAAAAAAGAAAGAAAAATTCAAATTTGAAACCAAAATAAAAACAACAAAGTTTGTAAATTAAATTAATACTAAAATTAGTTAAAGAGGAGTCAGTCAAGCTTCATCCCAAACTTTATTCTACCAAATATTATGGTATAACCTTTGCTCTAACCCAACTTCATAACCTTGATTACCAACAATAAACGGGAATAAAAATACAAGTCGGGTATTTTTGGCAGCGATTATTTGTCGTTTGCTTATCAACGCACTTCCGCATCATTAAATAATTTTATCATTTGCATTATTTTCACTTTCCTAAGCACAGATGATAACGATGGCGATGATGATGAAGCCGCTTCTTGGTTACAGAGAAGGTTACAAAAGTTCTCTGGCAAAAGTTATGAGGGATAGTATTATATAGGTTGGGCAGGGGGCTGGGGGTTGGTCACAGGCTGATTTAACTAATTTGTAATTTATGCGACACGTCTTGCGGTTAAGTTGCGGAAAAAGTTGATGGGAAATATTTTTTTTAATTAACTCTGGGAAAAATGCAAAACATTTGGATTTTTTCCAATTCAAAAAGTTTTTTCTGGTTTTTATTAAGGGAAATTCAAGGTATTAAAGTTATATAGGGGCTTAAATTTTTAGTGCAGTTCTTAAGTCTTTCAAGATCCGAATCTTAGGCATATAAATTTTCCACAAAAGAAGGCACCGAGCCGAGTTCACTTCACTTACATTACAAACCCATTAAAGTTGCCCAGAGAACACGAAAAAAATTGTTATTATGGAAATGCAAATGCCAAAAGACATGAGAAGAGCATGGGACAAACGATAATGAGGACAAACAGCAGAGGCAGCAACAACTGCCACTTGCAGCTACAATGATAATGTTGCTGGCTGTTGATGACAACAACATCTAGCTACGACAACAACTGCCAGCAAGAACTAGTAAAAGCAACTAAACGGAGAGAAAATTTTTACAAATTGGTTCGAAAGAAACGCTGATAAAAGCGAAAGAACTGCTTTGAAATATTAAACAAAAATCAAATTTCTTTTCTTAAATACATTTTACAAAAATATACAATACAAATGTAGTAAATATTACCTTAAATCTAGTACTTATTTTCCCTGAGTGTAGCCAACCTCTACTAACAACCAACGGAAATCAGCCAAAGAATGCGCGCCCCAGTGAAGCATTTTTCCCTCCATCTTTTTTTCGTTTTTCTTCACCGCCTTCCCCGCCTTTAAGTTCCTGGGAGAAACGAAATCTAAACGCTGTCCTCCGCCTGCCAAAACCCCTTCTCCTTTTTTTCGAGCAAGGATATGCCTGCCGCTGCTCATTTTCGTTACTAAATAAGACAGGCCGCCGCGTCCTCGAACAACATTTTGACATTTCTTCTTTGCCGAGGTTTTTTTTCCTTATTTTTGCTTTTTGTGGTAAATTTTATTCTTAAAAATAAAAGAAATATAGCAGCTAAATGCATTAAACGAAATGTAACAAACTTTTTGAAACAAATATAGTAAAAATGTTTTATAAAAGGAATCTATATCTCATTTTGTTAAATATTCATTTTTGTAGTAAAAATATAGAAGGAAATAATTGTCAAAATATGGAGAGTTATAAAAAAAATTCCTAGTCGTACTGTGTTCATAGTTTAAAATATCACATTTTTACCAAAAATGCGAAAATTGATTTCCCCCATTTTCCTCCTCAAGGTGACAGTATTTTGTCCATAACTAAGCCAATAATGGTCCAAATATGGAGTGTCATACCTCGATGAGCTTGTTTTTATTCACAGTTTCAAATATAATGCAAATTGTGATGATGTTACCCCTTATCAAATATGTGAAATTTTGCCAAATGGAAGTTTGGCTACCATTTTAGTCAAGATTTATTCAAAAGAACTAGAAAAAGTAGACCATTTGTTTCATATGACTTTCCTATATAGAAAACAACAGAAAATAATCAACTAAATGGCATTTCGGTATTGTTGTTTTACTTTGTGTTACCACTGAATGCCCGATTTAGCTGTGGAAAAGCGAAAGAGCTGGCAATCAAGTGAAAATGTCAGCCACTCAAAATTTGTGCGCCATTTCGCATACATAATAAATCTACCTAAAACGAACAAAAAACGAAATGAAGAAAAGGCGAAGGGAAAGCTGAACTGAGTTCATTTTAGGTTTAACGATTTGGAAATAACGCCACAAAACAGGACGACAAATTATTTGGCCATCATCTGCAGAACTTTCGTATGGCATTGGCAGATTGTCGAGGGGCTGAAAACTTATTAATTTTCACAAAGTCAGCCACACGCAAAAACAGTACATACACAACACGTCCGAAAATTGTGAAAAACTGTGACGTTATGCACATGAGTGAGCAAATAGCAGCAGCAACATCCACAAACCAAAATGCATAGCATACTTCGCCGGGCATTAAGTAGTTGAGTCTTTCGAAGGGAGGGGAACGATTGGATGGATGGATGGTTGAAATGGAATTAAATGGGTCCGTAGCTGGGGGGAGAAAAGTCAACAAATTATGAGTAATTGTTTTGTTGGCAGAGCGGTTTATGTGACTAAAATGTATAGTAAATGGTGCCATGGAAAAGTATCTAAAAACCTTTAAGCTTTAAATTGAAATGGCAAAATAAGAATAAATTACTTATTAAATACACAATAAGTTATATTTTACATTTTTAGATTTACAAATATTTGTAGAAAACTCCAAAATCATAAGAATCATTGTTCTAGTAGGTGCCTATACTCATTGAGAACTTGTTCTTCCTGGACCAAAGGCAGATCCAAATAGTGAGAATTATTTTCAGCAAGATCCTCATTGAATCTCTTAAAAGCATTATAAGATTCCATTTCCGACTTCGCCTTGACAAGAACTGATTGGATTAAAGCCAATTCAGTGGCCGATAAATTCAATAAAGGAGTGGAGCTATTTCCAGTTCCTCTATTTGAACTCGAAGGTCCTTGATCTTTAAGTAACTTTTGCATGGCTTCAATAACAGCAAGTAACTCGTCTTCGCTGACAAAGCTTTTCAATAAGAATTCCATGGATTTTCTAAAGTCATTCTCTGTAGTTTCCAAAGCAGTTCGTGCGGATGTGGCAGGAAAACCAAGTTGTTGCAGAGTTGAAAGTAAAGATTCATCCACAGGAGGTGTTGCTGGTAGATTGGCTCTGAGGTCATTTGAATGATGCTGTAGAAGATCCAAACTACGCTCTAGGTTATTTTTGGTTCTCTTCAGTGCCTCCACAACCAATGGCCTTTCGTAGCCCATTTCCATGAGCCTACAAACACTACGAGGATCCACCCAATGTTCACCAGAATTAGTTTCCCTTATTTCCTGGTTAACCTGCCTTACATTAGCCGAGTTCTGGCGTTCTTTTTTGACTTTTTCCTTGTGTTCCTGTATAAATTGTATGGCTCTATCCACCTGGCCAGCACAGGATCTTAAAGCCAATCTGGCATCACATTCTTCATAACCCATTTCCACCAGAGTCATAAGCTGATCATCATACAGCTTTAACTCATTCAAATCCTTGGAAGCCTCCTCCAATCTTTCATAGGCTTCATCTCGGCGATTTTGGTGAAACAAGAGAACGCCTTGGAGAAGATGTAACCTCATGATCAAGGCTCTTTCAGGACAACTAGGTCCTTTCATCGAGTACAAACGACTATAGTTCTCTCCGTAACTCCTGAAAAAGCTTTTCTCACAAATATCCAAACGTCGCTGAGCATCTGGTAATTGAGTGATATTCTTCAGGCAAAGATAGCACCAAACAATATCAAGATTGATGAGAGCATAATTGTCCACCGCTTCCAGAAATTTAGAGCTCTCACTGCTTCGGCAGAAAAGTTCATCGGCTTCGAGGAGCAGAAGTAAAGCCTCATCGAAGTTTTCTTTACGCATGGCAGCCCTGGCTGTCTCGTACATGGCCAATCCCATCAATATAGATCGATTTTCGTCGGGTGGAAGGAAGATGGGACGACCATCTTGATCCTCCATTTCCATAAAACGATGATCGGCATCCGCAACTATCTCTACATCAGCTCGAATCCTCTGGATACGTTCATGTAACTCCTGACCTTCATTTTCTCCTCCCACTACGACCATAAGTTGTTGATTGGTTTTAAGACCCTGCGAGGCTAGAGTTCTTTGTCCATTGATAATCCTTCCTCCTGAAATGCATTTCACATGACTTGATTCACTTAAGTTCAACTTTTTGGCCACCTCTTTTTGAAGATCCGAGCCCAAGCCTCCTAGCGAGCACTTGATCTCCATCATCTGCGAAGTTCCACCTTTTTTATCCACACATCGCACATTGAAAGTGGCCAAGCCAGTGTCACTGAACTCCTTCCAAGCTGCTAGTTTCCTCAAGGCACTATCTTGCAGTTCTGTCAAGGCACACCTGCAGTCTTGAAGGCTTATGCCCAGATCTCCACTCAAGTCCCTTGCCAATCGATCAATCTCCGATTCAATAGTGCCAACGCCCTCGAAGTAGTAGGGCTCCTCCCACAACTTGATATCACGCTCTCGCAGGCGGGCTCGCAGCTTTATAAATGTATTATTTATCTGAGACATATTCCTTTTTTCCTTAAGATCTGGAACAAAACTATTTAACTTCTAAATTTGACAAGAAAATTTCGGTCCTAACACTGTCAGCGGGTTGCCTTGTTTTCACTTTCTTAAATGTGGCAACGCATGACTGAAAAAGTTAGTTATCAGAGTTTTACAGGTACTTCATAATCCATATCTGTAGAACCTTTTTTGAACCTTCCTATCTATCAGATTTCCTTTGAAGTGCCACTTATGGATTCCTAATGATTGAATCTTTTGTTTGGTTTGCCAAAGTTTGGAATAGTCTTAATCTAATCAAACGTTTAGGAGTAGACGCTAACCAACATTTAATTAAATACATTTTGATTTTAAGTTCTTGGTTTGGAATTTGGAAGTATGAAGTTAATAGGAATGTGATTACCTTGAATAGTTTTTTATTTTCTGATGTTTCTTTATAAAATCATATAATTTTACAAAAACTATAAGGACTTAAGTCATTTTGCAGACACTAATATTGGGAAGAAAGCTCTTTAACGAGACCTTTACATTATTTGTAGCACTCAAGAGGCACGAGCCAGTATTAAGAGGTAACTTGGCAATCAGCCTTAAGGTCCTGGGAATCTGCCGGACCAGCCTTAAGGTAGCTCTGAAAACCTTCCAGAAGCACTTGAAAGAATTGTAGATTTTGGATACCACAGATCTTTCCTTGGCGCATAGTTTAGATCTCAGATTAATAATAGCATCGCAGAGGCTTATAATCCTTTTCGCGGACTCAACAACCTTCGCCACATCCTTGGGAACTTCAGTGCCGCAGGCTTTGACGGCTTTCAGGTAGTTGGTGCAGGAGTTTAGGACATTTACCACCTCTTTGATAATGCAATTCGTACCAAGAAGGGTTCTCAATGCTCCCCAAAGGATTTTTCGGCAAGAGCGAATAAAGCCAAGATCCTCCACATCCATAAAGTCGCTGTCACTGTCATAGTCATCTAGAAGTTGATCCAGTTCCAAATCGTAGTCCAAATCATTAGCTAAGCTATCTTCGCTTGATTCAATTGAGTTGGCCTTAGGTAAATATTCTTGTTTATAAAATTACATATTAAAAAGTTTAATTTACTTACCTGACTTGTCAACAGACAAGTGGCCGAAACCAAAACCAGTAGCAAAAGTGTGATGGCTTTCATGTTTCTTGACCGGATGGTTAGCTACCACTCTTCATGCTTTGCTTATATAGGGCTGGATTATGTTGCCATATCTCGAAGTTATCAGATCGTAAGTGCACTCGAACTATCTATGGCTATTAGAACTCATATTTTGTTTAATAATATTGATAAAACAACACGTGGGGCCGCTCTAATCGAAACATCAAAACAACGTAGCTATCATTATCTACACAGAAAAGAAAACGTGTTGCCTTAATAATTTTTAAAGCGAATTAAATATATAACGAAAATGAAAATTTGGAATGCTTTCAAAATGTATTTATCTGCTAACAAATATTATTTTTTGTTTCCAAACTTTACATCGACTCAATGCAGACATCAATGTTGGGCAAAAATGCGTTGAAAGATGCGCTGACATTCTTGGTGGCATCAACAAAACAGGAACTGGTATCAGAGGGCAGCTTAGCGATCAGTTTCAGGGCCTCATTAATCCTTCTGGTCAACTTCATGGTGGCCTTGAATAACTTCCAAAAGCATTTCGAAGTGTTCTTAATAATCGAACCATCCGATGAGGATTCATCCTTGGCACAAAGTTTCGACTGCAGGTGGATAATGTCATTGCAGATGCTGATGATCTGCTTCACGGAGTCCACAATCTTGGCCACATCCTTGGGAATTGCAACGCCACATGCATCGATGTCATCTACATAGCTGGTGCAGGAACTCAGAATGTTAACCACCTCCTTGATAATGCAATTTGTCCCGCGAACTGTCTTCAAAGCCTTGCGAAGGATCTTTCGGCAAGATTTAATAAAGCCCTGAGCCTCTATATCCATGTAGTCATTGTCTTTATCCAACTCATCTAGAAGTTGCTCCAATTCAGATTCAAGATCAAACTCATAGTCGATGGTTTCTTCACTTGATCTTAGGGAACTGGCCTGAAATTAAAAATATTTTGTTAAATATTTTATATAAACTTAAGGATAACCTTTAAACTTGCCTGAGTGGTCAGCAGACAAGCGGCTGAAACCAGCACCAAAAGGCAAAGTGTGATGGCTTTCATTTTACTGTCCAATTAACGAATGTTTTGTAAACCGCTATCGTAGATCAATTTATATACGGAATGTTGGGTCTTATCAAAAATTAATCAAATCAAAGAGTGTCCACTCACTCTTTCTAAGCCTACATAAACTGATATTTCCCGTAATTAGTTTACAAAAGATAAGATTTTCACTTGGAAACTTCAAATCAAGCTACTAAAACTAGAAAAGTACTTTTAGAAGTACTAGAAAACTAAAAATTTGATAAGCTGATTATCATTCTAATTCATTAAGATAAGGAAAATGCATTTATATAGATTTGATACTTAATAGATATAGTTAACAAGTTGTAATTAATCAGATTTTGGGTCTTGAGTTCTTATTTAAAATAGTAAATGAAAGATCCTAAAATCTAGATATTATATCATTCTCTTAGAGATTTATAATGTTTAACTAAATTAAAATCCCAAAAGATTAATTTACTTCCCTCGCAAAATATCTAAAATTTTAGCTGTTAATTATCACACCATATCCAGAAAATCCACTTTGGGCATCCTTAAGGATCGAGGCTCAGGACGAATTAAAAGCCGTAAACCGCAGACAAAGAGGAATGGAACCACAATCGAATCGGTGGCTGCCACAGATTCCGGACACAATAGAAGAGGACAAAAAGGGAAAAAATTTGTTGCCATTGTCAGCTTAACGCGCTTGGTTCACTTTGTCCGGGGTTATAAATGGTAACGTGTGGTTAAGGGTTAATAACTCCCACTAGGGGAGTGCATGGAAGAAATAAAAGACCACGGAACGAAGACATTTTCCGGATACAAAAGAAAGTTGGGTACTCCCCCATAAACCCCCCTTTTCGCGACAAGGAAGTGTGGCTGCTAATGAAAAGTGCCAATGGATGGGTATTCGGTTGGTCTGTCATTAGGTCTCGCCGGGGTGACAAGTTCGCCGGGTGATAAAGTAGCTGACGGCGTTATTTAGGGGTTTCATTTCGTGTTGATTCCACATCCTTAATTTGTTCTTCCGGAATGGGGCATTTGCAATGGGAAGACGAAGGGTCTTAAATTATCAAGAGATATGTCATAAACTTGCTCTCATTTCTTAATATTACTATAGTTACTGAAACACATTCAAAGAAAGGGTTTTTAAAATGTTGTAACCATAAACCGCTTTCTTTTAATTTATTGCTTTTAGTACCCTTCAACTTTTGTCCCATTAAAATTATATCCTTCCTCTGAGAACTTTACAACCTTCTCTCCAGTTTTGTGTCTTGTTGCTGTCGCCATCGCATCTGCACTTGGCATAAGTTAAATGTCGAGTAAATGTGGCTGACAACCATGACGATGCATCGCTGCCTGCATGAGGCATCCTTTTTTTTCGCTTTTTTTGCTAAGATCCTTGTCCTGTCCTTTTTGCTTTCGTCCTGAGGATGCAGCTTGTATGAAATCAATGACATGTTGTCGGCAAACTTTCCCCAGCACTAAGTGAGTTTTATCCTCACTTCAGGCATTAGACTAATATGAACTGATTTCACCTCGCCCCCTTCCGACTCACTCTGCTCTCTCTGAAAATAAGGTCCACCCCAAAAAGTTGACAAGTGACAAGTCACATTGTTGTACATTAAATTAATGAAATCATTCCGAAACTTTTACAGGTCATGGCCGTACACTCATTGCTCTTCTTCGATTACGGGAAACTTGAAGTGTCTGTCCGGATTTGCGGCTCATAAATATTGAGCACATTATGTCAGGAGCAGACAAAAGGGGGCGGACGGATGCGGGCCTGCAGTCAATTGTTGGTCATCAATCTTTTAAACAAATGCGGTTCAATGCCAGTGACAGCGGCAGCAAGAGGGGTGGAAAAAAATAAAGAAAAAGGGGGAGTCGAAACATCACTGATGAAAAGCTGAAAAAAGGGGCAAAAACAGATAAAGATGAGTGGGGAAATTTAAAGAGAACTGGACTAAGCCATTACCCTCTAACTTTAAATATTAAAAATAAAATGTTAATTAGCCGTTAAATTACATTTGCAAAGGTCTCGCTTGAGGATAAACAAATTAAGTTTTTTAAATAGAACTAAGAAAAATAAATATATATGCAAAAAAGTGGAGACTTTCTTTCTATATACTTGGAAAATATCATGAGAGCCTTTAGAGTCGAATTTCTTATGATACACTATGATATATATCAAGATTCTTTGCCCTTTAATATATATAACTTCGATATTGTTAATGTGCTTTATAGACCAATCGACTGCCAAGCACATTGCAATTCTAGGTCGTCATAGTCCAACGGATATTTTACTTCACAATCAAACCATTTTTGTCAAGGGTAGAAAGAGATCAAAAATCTCGCACACTTTTCATTATGAACAAGAGGTAAGTTTCTGTGAGTTTATTTTCTTTTCTTACACAATAATTTAATATTATATTTTTCAGAGCGATCCGAGAGTAATTAGCGCCATTATAATAACTAACTATCAAAATAATAAACTTGCAGGTGATGGAGCCCTGATCAATGGGGGTCCAAACAATATCTTCTGTTCGATTCGATTTTCGTCGAGAAAGAACTTTAACCTCGACTTCAATATTCTTATTTATAGCAATAACCAAACGCTTAAAGAATCTCGAATGATGAAAGAGGGGAATTAATGCAATGTTTATATTCTTAACTTAAACAAAAAAATGTTTTTTCTGTCATTTTAAGTTAAAGGCAAGACTAATCCTGTTAAAGCGTTGCTAAATGGTTTGTGTTTGGTTATAAAGCGATTAATTGGCTATATTGTTAGGCTTAAAATCTAGTTTATACATTATAAAATCAGCCTCTAAAAGACCAAGATGTGTGTGTTAAAGATTATTCTTGTGGCGATCTCAATCTTAGTAGTTGAAAATCTGGCCCTTCATCATTACGATCCTAATGGTTCTACCATCTTTGGGGTTGTAAGAGCAAGCGACCGATTAATGGTCAAAGAGGAAATTGTGGAACCTAGAAGGTTTTTTCGCATCGTCAAAAAAGATGTTTACTTCAAGCCTCAGGTAAAGACAACAAAAACATATCAATTTAAACATTTGTATATTAAAATACTTTATCAAATAGCCATTTAAAATTAGCGGAATTGTGGCCACTGATAATAGCGATGAAAAAGGTGGTAGAGCTGCTCTTCTCGAAGGAGGTCCTGGTTCCAATTTTGCCATGATTCAGTTAAAATCTGCTCGTAGTAGAGGTCTTAATTTCACTTTAGATATATACACTGAAGCGCTGAATTGTCTTGGATGCACATTTGTGGGTTAAATTCAAATCAAATTTAATATAATTTCAGTAAATAAATATAATATATATTTGTATATCTAATCAATCAAATGAATAATATATTTATAAATATTTTTCTCTCAGTGTACTTTATTCCTCCAATCCAGACACAGCTCTCCCAATAAATTCCCTTGCCAGGATGAGTTCAATGAAGAAGGCAAAACCCTCGTCTGGTTTGGATGGCCAAAGCGGCGGCGACATATTACTTCCTTATTTGTGGGCTGTGCCCGCGACCTTTCACCTTTTTCACCCAACCCCCCTAACGTCACGCTCCAAAAAGTGAAACATTAGGCCCAGAAATCGAAGTGTGCGTGTGTTTCGCATTAAAACAATGACGCGGCAGAAACATTTTCAGCGCTGACAGCCAGCCAAACATCCGCCAGATAAAAATGTCCGCGAGCAAGCAAACAAATTTGATTGAATCAACTGCGGCGAAGTGTCCTGTGCGCCGTATCCCCTCGTCCTGGCTATTGTTTCCCTCTCATTCCAAAAAAGGGATGTTCGGGTCCTGGCTAGTCGTCCTGCCAAGCTAGCCGCTGGGATGATAATGATAAGCGCATAAAACCATTAAGTGATTCCACTCAAATGAGCACGTTAGGATGACTGTAAAGCTTGTTCGGGACGAATTATCCACTAAGTTGGTGAACTACCATTGCAATACACTGAGATGAAAAGTTACAAATATTCAGATAAAATTATATATTTAAATCAAAAATCAAAATTCTTATTTTTTCTTTTGGAAAAAAATGTCTAAAGACCAAAGTTAATCATTTTTACAGAAACCCTTAAAAATTCGATTAATAAAGTTGAATAACATACATTTAAAAATTAAATTAAATATTTAAAAACTCCAATTATTAATATTTTAAAATTTAATGTCAAAATTTTCTATCTATAATCTTAGGCATACTTCGTCAGAGCTCACTGTACTCTCATCCGCTAATTGAATCGCTCACAGTGGCAAAACCCTCGTCCTGATCCCACGGAAAGTGAATCTATCCGAAAAAAAAAAAACAAAAGAAAGCATTTTTTGTACTCCTAGCCAGAGCACAACACGACATGGGAGGTCGGAAAATGTGAGGAGTAGGAGAAGTGGTTGTAACAGTAACGATGACAGCGATGTCCTTAAACCTCTGGCAAAGGGAATACAGGCTTGTAAAGATAAGGGGGAGGGAGGGATATCCAGGGAAAAGGTGGGTGGAACCAGGAGACAGGATTCCGGAAAGGACGCCCCGTTCATGTTAAATGGCCAACAAGGTGACAATGCAGATATAATGCTCATAAGCAGACGGCATAAAGCGACAAACGTGATACGACCAACGACCAACGACCATTATGTCGATGATTCGCAGGACATTTCGCGATTGATAATGCTCACTTACCAGCTACCAGTAACCAAAATGTCTCGCAATAAAAAAAAAAGTCGCTTATCGGTTGACTTTACGCACAATATAACAGACAGATGTCAGATGGATAGCGTTGAACGATGGCGTTTAATGCGAATCAATGACAAATGGAGCGTTTCAATAAGATGTGGGAGTATACTATCCATTAAGGAGGCTCAAGTTGAGGTTTTTAAATTAATCACAAGAGGGATTTATGTTCTTATTAAATTAAGTTAAGAACTATTAACAAACTTCTGCAAAAGTTAAAGCTACAGAAAGACTAAGGAAAGAAAAAGACTACAAAGTTTCTTCCGTTTTATATTAACAAATCATTTCCACAATGTGAAATCAAAATCAAAGATTATAATAAACAGAATATAAGCTCTTAAAATCCCAATTTTTTCTTTTATTTTCTTTTCTCATTTACATTAACAGAAGTACTAAAACCAAAAAAAAAGGGCAGCCAAACTCATAAGTTCAAAAGCCACCCACATCTCCGAAGCGAAACTTTTGCGCGGCTGACATTAGTTAATTGTCAGCCGCTTCAGTTTGCAAACATGCATTTGGCCCAAAGCCAACATGGCCAACAGAAAATACAACAACAACAAAAAAACTCATAGAATGGGAAAAAAATAGAGAAATGGTTACAATTTAATTAAGTTTTTGGTACGTAATTTGCGCCAACACTTAAAGTTGTTCCCTCGACTTGTTTTCATGGGGTTTTTTCCCTCATCTTGTTTTTTTATAGTTTTATATTGTTGCACCTTGGGTGTTGCGGCAGCGTCTGCACTAATTAGGCAAATGTTTCAACTTTAAAACGACGATGCCATTTCACGCGCCCTGCGTGTGAAATTTATAAATGTCAACTGCAAAAGCCACCCGCCCGCTCGCACTTTGCACTTTGTTTTGTCTGTTTAACTTTTGTTCATAGCTGGCTGACTTTTGCTGATTGTGCAGAGGTTGCAGAGGCACACTGCTGTTGCAAAATCCACTCGAAGTCGTGGCAAGCTTCTATTTCTATTTTTTTCTTTCTTTTTTTTAACTCAGCACTTGCAGTTTGTTGTATTTTTGCTAGTTTTAAAAATTAAAAAATTCTCCATTTACAGGGGTAAAATGGGAAGTGGGTAAGGAGTGGGGAAGTGGAGATATTACTGAAATGGAGACATTATGTTTTATGCAAGTGCAACAGTGCGTATGAGTGTTGAAAATTGTTGTCCTCCACAGTTGCAGTGGCAGTTGCAGTAATGAAAGTTACAGTGAAGCAAATGGAATATTAAATTGTATGATCTTCATAGTTCTTAAAAGTTATGATCTTCTAACTTGATTATTATTTTTAATTGGAACCTCAAAAATGTGTCTCTTAATCTTAAATTCGTAAAGACTATATTTTGTTAACATATACCAACTTAAACTGTCTCTTAGCTTAAAGAAAGAAAAACCTTATTCAATGTACATCCGGTTCAAGGTTTTCCCAAATTTTCCCATTCAATTTGGAACGTTGAAAATGTCAATCTACGGCTTTTCCAAGCAGTTATTCACAAACAAACAGAAAAACAGCTTAGAGCCAGACTTGGATTTGGAAGAATAAAAAAGGAGAACAAAATCTACACACACACACACACGGCCAATATATAATACACCAGGACACACACATAAAATTGCATTACACACACGTAAGCCATGGAACACATTTGGCAGTTACTGTCAGTCAATCTCCATTAAGTCCACACCCAACACCTTATTGAATTTTATTGTAAATTGAAAAGAAAAAATTGCACACCGACTGCAAAAGGCCAAATGGGAAAACAGGCAAAACCAGTTGCAAATGTCGGAAAAAGATTTCACGAAAAAAAAATTGGAAATTGAAAAGAAAATAGCAGGAGATTTGGTATGCGGAAGGTTAAGGTTTTCAATTAATTTGCATAAACGTTGGAAACGATTATGTAATTTGTATTTGCCACATAAATTATCACACAGTGAAAATAGTTTTCAAATATTCACCCCAGACAGTAAGGAATGAAGTGGTTTGAGGTCCTGCGAGTAGAGGGGTCAGCTTATTAGAGGCGAATGAAACCAACCAACTATCAATAAATTACCAACTGGGGCGTGGCAACTAGAGTTTCCCAGAACCGCAAAAAGCACAAACAATTAGAGGTGACTGGTTCTAATGAATTGGGAACCAAAAAAAAAAAATAATTTATAATCAGAGTTTAAAATAAAATAAGAAAAAATAAGAAAAGGATAAAATTTGAACTACAAAATCCCGGAAATAGTTGAGATTTGTAAATTAGTAACAAAAATATTTTCATAAATTATTCTCAAAAAATAAAAGTCATTGCTTAATCATATTTTTCAGTCAAAATTTCAAAATAATGCATATATTAACCTCAATCCAGTTAAGTTAATTAATCCTGAACCGAACCAGATCCTTTAAAGAACTCATCACCATCTCCATTCGAATTCCCCGTTGACAAATTTTCGGTGGGTCTGGCATTGTGGACGGGTAGGTGCTTGCCAGGGACCGCAAATTTTATGCACGTTATAAATCACGGCCAAACAACGACGACAGCGTCGAGGACGACTGCAAAACTGTTCACATTAATTGTTGCAACGTCATTTTTGGGCCTATTGTATGTTGGCCAGCAAACCACCACCCTATCTCTAACAACCCATCGTACCCAACCATACCAAAAAACGAAACCATTCCACATTTGGTGGTGGTGCAGCAGGCCAATAAAAGGCGCTTTCTGTGTGTGCTCCAGACGCCTTTGTGTCACGTGGCAATTTTCGCAAAAGGAATTTCAACAATGTAGACGTTTTTCCTACACCAAATAATCACAGCAGAAAAAAAGAAGAAAATAGAAAGTCCAACTACTTCTTTCTTTTTATTCAGCCAGCATAGGCAAATGTTGTCGGGGTCTGAGGTTACGGGGAGTCCATAAAAAATTGCTGTTTAGTAGCTGGATTTGTGGATTTGTCAAAGGCCCGACGACGAAGCGCGGATACTGAAAATCTGCCACGTTTTTTCCCTGCCCTTATTCATAATTTCACATTTGAGACAGAAAAGGCCAAAGGATATATATGTATATATAGGCATCGAGTTTTTGTTGTCAGCAAAGGAATGCCCGGGTGTATAAGGGAGATGGGATTTCCTAGAGGGCAATAAAGCTGCTTGGTAAAGTTTTAGGAAACAAAAAAGCAGAGTACTTGGCTAACTATAATGTTAAATAAAATGAAAACAGATATATTAATAAGTAATATTTATAGTTAGTAATCGTTTTCTGGATAATGATGAGGTGGAATTTTAGATCAAGCTTAAGTTAAATACAATTTACAAGATACTAAAGCGTAAGTAGTGAAAGTGTTGTTTTTACGTATCTTTACCTTTACTTAAGTAAATAAAATATTAAAAATAACAAGAATTTCAATATATTTACCATTTTTACAGATAAATGTTAAGTATGTTATCTTTTTAATGTACAAAATTAAGGTTTTTAATAGCTTGGCCACCTTCACTCTCTTCTTAAGGCCCAACGACAAAATATTTTACAGCCCACTGATGTCCATATTTACATACGATATGGTATGGCATTGCCACATCGCCACTCCATTGTGAAGAGATAATCCCGGCATATACATAAAATGCAGGCAAAAACACTTGAAAGCAAAGTTATGAACTGAGACGATGGAGGAGAGGAGGACCTCTCCGTGAGGGGCACCAAAAAAACAGCAAAAGGGCGTCGTTAATATTTCAAAAACAGAAACACAACCGAATCGAAAACATAAACAGAAGCGACAAACAACAAAGGCAGAAGGCAATGAGAGGAATAGTCCTGATCCTTGGACAATTGCACACAGTGCCCACACTTGACTTTCCCAGGGTCCATTCCGAATATTAAGGAATATTTGCCGCTTGGTCAGCAAAACCGGAAAGGGAAAGGTAAATGAGACAAAGCCAATGGCAACGGCAAGCAGACGAGACAGGGTGAAAAGTCACCTTCGTGTGGCACAAAATTTATGGCCAACAAGAATGGCTTAAGGATAATCAAGCTAGAGATACCCTTGAAGGCTTATTAGTAGCAGGCTTGATGATCTTATCACATAATAAGAAATTATATAATTTTATTTTACAAAATTAATATGTAATTTGCAACAAAGTAGATGGATTAATTTAATACATTTTTAATATCTAACTTAAATTCATAAATTACGAATGACCTTAGCTTTCGGTTAAAATGAAAATACCCTAATTGGCAGTTGGAAAATGTGCTTGGATTCACTTATTCCTCTTGCAACATCAAGAAAAGGGACTCCACAATGTTGTCAGAGTGCGTTGTGTGCGTGTATGGGGACAAATTAATTGTTGACAGCGCGACATCTTCAAACCTCCAAACTAGACTACAGGAAGTTTTGGGTTAAGTGTTTCCTGACACCATAACCATTTATCAATGCCCAACAAACAAAGTTCAGAGGTCGCAAGGAATATATAGGTTCGAGGAACTTCCAATTTCTTATCTATATTAAGTACCAAAGGGAAATCAGTTAAAGATTTTAATTAGCTTATTATATTTATGCATTTCCTCTTTAAGTGAATTGTATTGAATTCCCATTCAAAATTATGTAATTGTTGGCTCAAAATGCACGTATCATAATTTTTTAACTTTTGGGATCGTTTTTCTGATGTTTCTGGGCCAACTTTCGGGACAAAACTCCAGAGAAAACCCAAATTGAAAGATCGTTATCATTTATCTATCTGAAGCTAAACTTAATTTTTTTTTTGTATTTCCATGTCATATAAATATAAGCAAGGCATGCTGATAACAATTAATATTTAAGAAGAGAAATATGATATAACGATGTTTTTTATACTTTTCTTATAGCTCAATATTTTATTCATTGATGTTTCACCATTACATTACATTACATGCATTACTTTCCACATTCATTTTCTGAAAGATAAGAAGACATGGTTCATGAACTCGTTTTAAAGACCCGGCAGACCCAATACTCCAACCCCCTACTTCTCAACAGGTAGTATCCAAAAATAGACCAAGACAAGCTGGTTTTAAGGCTTATTTATGTAGTCCTTTCTAGTTAAATGTTTAGTATCCATACTTAATTGCAAAGCCATAACGAACCAGTTCTGCAGGCTATTCTTTTCTCGATTCTAGTTTATAATCAATAAAAAAAGTCGAAGCAGAAAATGCTCTTGCTAAGGAAATAATATTTTATACAAGCCATTTAGTTCTTTTATTTATCCAGTCTCAATGATTTTTCAGTGACAACTATAAAAGCGCCTGTCGACGATCACCAGATGATCCCAAACATCATTGTTAAAGGTGTATGTCTCAACGAAATTCGACTCATCAGAAGAGTAATGAGTATAAAGAGCTCACTGTGATTTTAAACATATAAACAAATGCAATGCGTGTAACGCGCACTTTGATAAGGAAAGTTATTTAAAAACAAAACAAAAATAAACCGATTTGATTAATATAAAAATATTATATAAATTAAACAATGTAGAGATTACTCGTAAAATATTAAATACACCCCAATGTTCAGGGAATATACTCGTACGTTGAATCAACCGAAGTCCACGATGTGCCTTTAAAATCGGAGGCCAACTCAATCGACACTCATTCAGTACTTCGGAGTCACCATGAACACACGTATCTCTTTTGTTATACTCATTATATCAGTTTTGTGGAGTCTGTCGTTGGTTGCTAGTTCTCCGACATCCGAGGATGTACAGGATCTTAGGCAGAAGACAGTTATCCAGGATCAGGTGTTCTTGAAATGCTGTCTTAGTCTAAGAGCTACGGATCCCAGTCACAATTGCAAGTCTTGTGCGGACAAATTGGAACCCTTGGAACCAATAACCGAAACCCCGTCCGATACCAAGAAAACCCTGGGAGTTGAATGCGTGAGGACACATTCGGGATGCCATATTCCAAGTAAAGATGACGATGAAAACAAAGAAAGCTTGAAAGAAGAATCCAAATGATAGGGCTATAAACATAAAAAAAACAATTTAACATCAAAGAAAAACAATACCATTTTGATTTGGATTCAAAAAAACAATATTATTTTTCTTAAAATTTTATATTTGTCAACATTCAAACTGAAAACAAACTGTTAATTTATAATAAAGTACCATGGAAATATAATTTTTATGCCATTTTCCAGTGTTATATATATTAACTAAGGTTACAGATTTAAATTTTTCGAATCCAATGTAATTTCAATTGTTTTTGGCGCCATATTTTTAAAAACATCAAATCAGTAAGGCAGCAATGTTCCTCTCCAGAGAGTTGCCACATCTATACACAGCTGATTTGTATAATTGCTGAATTGTAAAAATTTTAAAAATCTTGTCAAGAAACTTTTGAGAGCAATTTGATAATTAATAAACAACAAATGACAAAGCAAAAAATTCCAAATATCAATGTAGTACCCAAGCTTTGAATATTTAAATATTAAAAATTCGATTTATTAAGTCAAAATTGTTTATTACAACTCTAAAATACCAAGTTACATGAATACCTAAAATACTCAAACAATCGAAAAATAGTCAATTTTATTAAATTCCTGTAACAAAGGCCATAAGCGACAGTCTTGAGCGTTACCGACACCGAAAGTATTTTAACAATAGTTTGGTCCTTTAAAGCATCTAGTTTTTCAAGGGAAATGGAGGCACCCAACCCCCAAAAGTCCGTTCCAATTCCTCGGCAACCGCAAGACAAAGACGATCATTATTCGGATTGGCCACCACCTGGATGCCCAGCGGCATACCCTTCGAGTCGAGACCCATGGGAACCTGAGTAGCCGGCAAGTGGAGCACATTGAACAGGCTGAAGTATGCAAAATCATTGAACTTGACCAATGGATAGAAATGGAATGGCGCCGTCCTCGGAGAACTGTGGAAAAACAAAACCCCATCATCGCCTAGTAATTCCTGGACCGATTTCCTGCACTTTGCCGTGGCTTCCCTTATTAGTTTCTCCTTTTCCTTGGGCAAAACACCATCAATCAGACCGTAAATGGCTGCCATACTGTAGTCACTTTGTCCCAGGAGTTTCTTGAAGAGCTCCACAAATGGATTGAGTTCAGCGCCGTTACCCAGTAACAAATTAAAGTTGGCCGGTTCCTGGGTCATCCAATAGCGCCACATCTTGCCGGTCAAATTGGTATTAGGTATGTTGGCATGTTGCACATCCTTTCCGCTCAGATTCTCAAAATGTTTACGGATCTTATACATAACTCTTTCGGTTTCCTTATTAATAGGATTACACTGAGCCATGCCATTGGAAGCCACATAGAAGTAACGTAGACGCTTCAAATCCACCTTTTCATCCAGCTTTAGCTTGGATTTAAGAGGAAGGCTCGGCCAGAACCTGCATCATGGGCAGTAAATCTCGGGCGAAACGACTCATTGGGCCGGCACAGACCATTGTCTCTTTTTCTTTGCCGGTTCTAAAAGTACAACCGGCCATGTTGACTGCCCCGGAGGTGGGCTTGTGTCCAAAGACTCCGCAGTTAAAGGCCGGTATACGTATGGAACCACCTATATCGGTTCCCAAGCCGAATCCCGTACAGCAGGCGGCAATCAGAGCGGCTTCTCCACCCGAAGAACCGCCAACAGACCGTCTTAGATCATATGGATTGTTGGTTCCACCAATTAGCATATTCCTCGACTCAATCCACTTATTTACCTCCGGAATATTGCTGGTGGCGATGATAATTGCGCCACTTTCCTTCATCAAGCGAACACATTCGGCATCCGTAGACGACCGTTCCGTTTTTCGGGATACCAGACCCAAGGTATGGAGCTTTCCGGCCACAGCGGTACTATCCTTAGTTGAGAAGGGAACTCCCAGGAAGGGCTGACGCCGGAAGTCCTCATCGGTGTACTCTTTTTTGGCCAATCTACGATCAATTTCCCGTGCCTGATCCAAGGCTTCCGGAAATGGACCATCGACCACAGCATTTAGATCCCGATTAACGCTCTCGATCCGTTCACAGTACGCCTTGACTATGTCGTAACTCCGCAGCTTACGTTCCCGTATCTGTTGGGCTAACTCCACGGCACTCTTGCTCAGCAAAGACTGTTGTTCCAAACTTGGTGGACCCGGAACTCGTTTGTGGTCACCCAGATACCATCCCAAAACGAACTCCAGGAGACGATCGCTCAGGATGTGGACTAGTGCCAGCAGGGCATCCAGTACGTGGCTCCAAAAAGACATGATGACACTAGTTTTTCTGATGAGATTTGCACTTTGCGCAATGCAAATGCAAACTAAAGCTGAAGGCCTCAGAGGTTGCGATAAAACCAAGACGTTGCCACCCGATATCGGCGAAAGCTGGCGATGAAAGCTTTCCCACAAACCAGTTTCAGTACCAAGTACAGTGGTCACCTGCTAATTTGCCTTACATTATTATCGCTTATTTAAAGAACTGTGGATAAGGAAAAAAACATTAACATTCACATGATTTAGAAAACAGTTTATATACAGTAATTAAATAGAAAATAAAGTTTCAAAGATTTTATATTTTTTTTTATATTATTGTTGTTATTGGATAAAAATAGGTGAAATAAGGTGAATCTAATATAAGAACCATTTCAAATATAATGACTAGTTATTTTATATATACAACTACAAAAATTGGTAAATTTAATGGAATGTCCCTATTGTTATTCAACAAAAACAACCATCGCGCATGAACAGCTGAGCGAGGAGTGTCCTTAATGATTAAATCGCGTCTTGCAGAGACCGCCTCAAACTCACCCAACCGTCAAAACTACAAATATCGATTCGCAGCTGGCTGCAGATGTTTCTTTTCGTCAACAAAAACAAAACACTCGCGAATTGTGAATTAAATGCATTAAAATCCGGTGGCCTCAGTGCATTGCAGCAGATAAAGGCCATTTAAATTCCTGCCAAGGCAGCTCGTATCGAATATTTCAGCCCAAAACGTAAACCGGTAAATCCGAATTTCATTTACCCTGTAAATGCCTCAGTTCGATCACCCCAAAATCAAAAATCCCCTACAACTAATCAAAATTTCGGTCTTATCTTGATAGTGAATCATTTTTTAATTGATATTACTCATAGAAAATAACTTATCTCGTTTGTGAATTTGATTACTCGATAGTGTGTCTGACATACGTAACTAATTATTCAGCATGCTTTTGATGCCCCTCGGCATATAAATAGAAAGTTCGCAAAACCAAAAAAAAAAACAAATGCATTTACCAGTAAATACATACATATGTGTGTTTTCGTTGCACTTGCAGTCGTATTTATTGAGAAAACTAAACAAAAAGCCCATTTACAAACCGTGTTAAATTGCAATCACCGGTTAAAAGGCAAAACGAAGTGTTAAATGCTACCTGTAAAAATGTGGAGTGTGTGTTTGTTTGTTCGTCTGGGAGCCGTCGCATCTGTTAATATTAAATCGAGTTTCTTATTAATTTTTTAAGGCCCAATTGTCAGTTGCCAGGCCATATAGTTTTCGACCGAGTTATTATCAGCTGCTTTCTTTAACCATTATCTTTTGCACTCGATTGGAGAGGGTGTGTGATTTTATGGCCAGACCAATGGTTTTTGTTGTTCCTTTTTTAATTCCCGCCCAGGTGTTGTTAACTCACCTGATGAGTGACGTTATCATCGGGAATGCGAACGTGTCGTGACACGAATAAATTACAACCATGCTCGATTCGATTTGCTAATTTGAGATAGGTCAGGCAGCCGTTATACATTTATTTGAAGTGCCTTATACTGTTACTTTTACATTTGTGGTAAAAAAAAGTACTTGAAAAATTTAGAATTTCCTTTTATGTATTTAATAAGCACAGAATCAACAGCAACATAACAAAAATCTAAAACACGTTAAAAGCCAAAGAAATCTCAACAGACTTAAGTACATAGGTAATTTTTAACCACTTAATGTTAATGATGTCTACAGAGAATTGCAGTAATTTTTAAAACTGCGCTGTTTGAAAAAATTCCAACGAGATTTCGGGACTTAAGACTAAATTAAAGGGTAAACACAGGTTCACCTTTAACACGCAACCTTCGGTTCTAGCGGTTGATTACCTCAACAGCTTTGAATCTGTCAGATAATAAACCTTCGGGATAGCTGAGCACTGGGAAAAATCTTACAAATATGTGTCAAATTTAAAAAAATATATTTTACTACCTTTATGATTTATAGAGAAATATATATCATATATCATATATCATATATCATATATACATTGTTAAAATATTTTAAAGACCTTTAAGACGCTTTGTTTTTTGTCTTGATATTTATGGTTTAATATTTTGTCCGAGTGCCGGCGATATCTCAGCAAACAGCGAGTTTATGGCAGTGTGTCTGTGTGTCATGTCTGTTAAGTGGGGGACTGCTTGACAGTTGATTCGTCAAATAGCACCGCACTCGACGCTATTTTCTTTTATTTTTAGTTACCTCTGTTGCTTCCAGAGATTCCTAACACACTTCCATTCCACATTTTCCATTTTCACAGGTGAAGTGCGCAGTGCGATGGAGAGGAATCCAGTCACGGCTAATAGCATAGCAGGAGGAGGTAGAGAATCCAGTGATCAGGAGGAGAAAAAGTCACCAAGCGTCGCTGAATATATGAAAAACTTTAAGAACATCATAGCACCAGGAAATGAAGCCTCCATGACCAGGGAGTTCAATCCTCAGGTGGCCTACGAATTCGAAAAGTATCTCAATCCCCAGAAGCTCAAACAGCATGTCTTGAAGAGTGAAAAACTGCGTTCCATTCTGGAGCATTATGCAAAGGAATCGGGACAACCATTTAAGCAGTTGGAACGACAGGCTAAGGCTATCATCGATGAAATCGGACTGGAGCGAAATATGGCTATTATCCGATGGTGCGGTATAGCCATTACAGCTATTGGAAAAAGGATCTGCGATGGATTCTATGTCAATTCGGCCAGCATGGCCAACGTCCGCAAAGATATGGGCAAGTGTCCGGTGCTCTATCTACCGAGTCATCGGAGCTACATGGACTTTATCCTTATGTCGTACATCTGCTACTACTACGACATCGAGATACCAGGAATAGCAGCCGGAATGGGTATGTTTCGGGGGAAATGATCTTTAAACAATAAGTATTTGTTGATAGGGAACAAAGGCCACATTCGTTGATTATTTTGATTTTTTTTTTTTATTTATCACTGAACATTAAGTATTAACTGATTCTTTCGGTTTTGGTTCAACCTATACCTATTTTCTGAAAACTATAAAAACTTAACAAGCGGAAAATATCCTATAAAAATTAATATGGTTTGTTTCTCATTTAACACATTGTCAATATCTTTTCATCGTTTCACGAATTGGAAATGTGTATTGCTAATTAGAAGCTATACTTCAAATGTGTTTGCAGTTCAATTAGTATAAATTAGCAGATATAAATGTCAACTAAGTAGTTGCTATATTTTTAAAGTAGGTTCTAATTAAAGGTGTTAGAATTCTATAAGGGAGGAAATTAGACTTTAATTTGAAATTATGCTCTTTGTTATGAACGCAAATCTTATTTTAAATTATTCACAGACTTTCACTCCATGTTTGGAATGGGCACCATGCTGAGAAAAACCGGAGCCTTCTTTATGCGTCGCAGTTTCTCCAACGACGAGTTGTACTGGGATATTTTCCGGGAGTACATGTACGCTCTGGTGGCCAATTACCACATCGGCGTGGAGTTCTTCATCGAAGGCACACGCTCCAGGAACTTCAAAGCCTTAGTGCCCAAAATAGGGCTCCTGTCAATGGCCCTGCTACCATATTTCACTGGCGAAGTTCCCGATGTGATGATTGTGCCAGTTAGTGTGGCTTATGAGCGAGTCCTAGAGGAGCAACTCTTTGTTTACGAACTGCTCGGAGTGCCTAAACCGAAAGAGTCTACAAAGGGTTTCTTCAAGGCACTGAAAATCATCGATGAACGATTTGGGAAAATGTTCCTGGATTTTGGTGAGCCAATATCAGTGAAGGAATTCTTCGGACACGACAGTGGTCAGCGGATGCAAAGAGCTGGGGTGGGTGGCCACCTGCAGAAACTCAACCGCCAAGAAGTGGAACTAGTCAAGCAGCTGGCCAATGAGATTATCTACCAACAGCAGCGACGTATTGTGATCACTACATTCAATCTATTGAGTTTGTACTACGCCAGTCAATTGTACGCCCAAAAGAGTGTCAACATAGACGAGTTATCCCGTGGAGTTCTGCATCTAAAAAGGATCTTCGAGCAGCTGGGGGCACATGTTAGCACTACACAAAGTAGCATCAAGGCGGATATTATAGATGCTGTGGAAATACACTCAAACATATTACATTTTGCAACCGCTAGATTGCAATTTACACCCATGGCAGCCAAGCAATTGGCTGAACAAATCGATGTTAAACGCCTGAAAGCTCATGCTCTTTGCCCGCAGACGATGGCAGTGGCTGTTCCCATGTTGGCGCTGCAGCTCTACATTAATCCCTGCATGTTTTGGCTGGCCAGACCAGCTTACTTGCTCCTCGCGGCGCTTAAGGAGCAGAAGAATCAGGAAAAGCAGTCGACAGACATTTCATACGATGCCAGTTTGAGTGCCCTGCATACGCATGTGACCAGTATGGATACCCTGTTCCAGCACGAGTTCATCATTGAATCGAATCGTGAGGCAGCTGAGTTTGAGACACATTTGCAACTGCTCCTGGACGAGAGGGTGGTGGAGGTGGAAAAGAGCGGCCGTATTAAAGTCCAGGACAACGAGTGTTCGCATGTCATTCTGGCTGCCCTGGCGCCTTTCCTGTGTCTATACTACCAACTGGTAGTCACCTTAAGAAAGGTCAGTAATAACTAAATTTTGTTAAACACATTATATGAATTGATTTTTTGCTTGCAGATTCCTCTGGAATTCGAGTTCAGTAACAAGGATCTGCTTGTTCGCGTCCAGCAGCATGTGGAACAACTGCTGCAGCAACCCGGAGGCTCTGCCTCCCATGTGCATCCATATTGTCTGGCACTGGACAACCTCAATATAGCCATATATGCCCTAATCCAAAGGGGCTACCTTCTGAAATGTAAAGACTCGGGTCAAATGAAGATCGCTGCAGCTCCAGGAAAGTGCTTGAAGGAACTGGAAAATCAGCTCCTCGAGTACTGCCAACTAATGCCATTCGCACAATACTCGACGGCGGCCAACCAGCAGGCCCAATTTCACATAGCCAAGTTATAACTGACAAATGGCAAGAGGCCGACGGGGGAGACGACGCCACAGGAGGCGGACATGGATTTAAACCCCGATCCAGCGTCGAATCCCGAAAAGTGTAGTACAATTAGCATTTCATTGACCATGCAATTCATCCAGTTTGTTGTCGGCCTGCTCAAGAATTGTCGCATCATCTGCATTTTAGTTTTTATTGTGGTTGTTGCGCCGCTTTGGCAGCTGCTCCATTGGGTTATCGCATCATCCCACTCATTCACGTAGGTTTAGGGGGTGTCTGGTTAGGATGGGTCGATTCTAATAAGGGCGAGGAGATTTTAAAGATTGATGATTAGTGAGATCCCTGCACTCTTTATTTGCCGTTTTTTATTTATCTCTTAAGATTATTAAATCTGTATTGGCAAAATATTACATTCCCAATTTTGTTAAGATGTTTAAAAAATGAGATAATGATACCACTTATATATAAATTTAATATAAAGAAAAAGAGAATCAAAATGAAAAAAATAGTTTATTTAACTTACTAAATCTTAAAAGAAAACCAGGCACGAAAAACTTTTTATTTTGATTCTTTCGATTTAATTAATATTAATTAAATAATTTAATTTTAATATTTTAATAAGAATTATAGATGTTCTGATAAGGTTGCCTACGATTCTTTCAAAAACAAAAATCGATCCATCCTTTGGTGTGTATGTATCTGTGTGCTTAGAGAATCTTTAAGCAAAAAAACTGATATTTTATGTCCGATTTGCCATAAAACAAAAAACAAATGAAATTCACAAAAACCGCCAAAACATACAATTACAAAATATCGAATTTTGATCAAAACTTTTTGTATAGATACACTGGTTATTGGTAGATCCCATCGAAATATATATTCCATATATTTTTTAGCCAAGGAATTCATAGAAATGTTGCCCAACAAAACGTAACAAAAACAAGCACACTTTCAAGATTTTTTCAAAGCGCAAATAGTTAAGCTCAAATATTATTTTATTCCAAATGAGTGATAACTTAAATTTTCATAAAACGTCTAGTTTGTAGGCTCACCTTATGGCTGATGGTTCTTTACAATACACACGATGAGAAAACCAATTCTTTGATCAAATTTATTTCTTCAAGATATTCATGAATGCATTTCCCTATATTTAAGATGTTTTCTCGCATAAGTTTTTGTTATTCTAAGCTGGTGTTAAGTTTGTTTCCGTTTATATGCTTAAGTTGGTTATGTTCATCAGTTCTGTATAATTTTGAAATATTCAATTGTGCCAATACAAATGTCCGCACCCCACAAAATCAATATATATAAAGGCAAGCCATAAATATTGCCTCTAGCTAATAATAATAAACTACGGTTGATTCGAAACCTGATCTCTTGAAGGTTCAGGTCCGATTATTCCTAAAGGAAACCACAGCACAAATATGTTAGCAGCGAAGTGCAATACAAATATTCTGTTCAATGGTATTTTTAGAGATTGTTTCGTTTTATTTTTGTGGTAGATACTTTTATATTTATATAGAATTTAAAACAAGAAAACAACACCAATCCTAACTACACCCGCTAATAACAAAACCAACAAAAATGAGAGCAATAATAAACAATTAGTCGGTGCCAGTTGCGCCTCAGAAACTTGATTCCATGAGACTTTCAATTCCTAAGATTTGGGGTCACCGACAAAACTCTCGTTTGAACTGATCCAGGGTGCGTTGACTAATGACCACGTGCATCATCAGACGTTCGGGATTTTTCTCATCAGCTTTCGTTTCTACCACAGCTGCATTTTTGTATAGCCAGGCCATTTCGGGTCCACCGCTGGGCACTCTCATTTGGAGTTTTCTTCGCCCAGTGGCGGTCAGAATCTGTTGCTCAATATCCTCCAGCAGGGGTTCCAAACCACTTTGTAATCGGGCTGATATACGGTGCACGGGATCTAAGGCTGATTGCGCTTCGGAGGTTACCAAATCACATTTATTGTACACATTAATGATTGGCGGAAGTTGGCTGGCTGTGGAGTCCCCTCCAGCGACATTAAAGGCCAGAGATCGGAGCGTGGCCTCAACATGAGTGCGTTGGGCATCGTGGCATGGATGGGAGAGGTCTTGAACGTGAACTATTACATCCTGCGGAGAAACGATTTTTATAAAAACAAGCAATTATATTTAGAGGTTCTTTACTTACCGCCAACATGGCATCCTCTAAAGTTGCAACAAAACACTCAAAAAGTCCTGTTGGCAAATCAGACATAAAGCCTACGGTGTCCATATAAATGACCTCCAGATTACACGGTAAACAACCTGCATGAGCCGTCACATCGAGCGTTGCAAACAACTGATTCCTGGGCTGCAGTGCATCCTCAACAGTTAGGGCCTTGATCAAGGATGTTTTGCCAGCATTTGTGTAACCCACCACGGCCACAATGGGATAATTTTGTTGCTTCCGTTTCTGTCTGAGCAACTGCCTCTGTCGGCGAACACGATCCAACTCCGCACGCAGTTTCCGCTCCCTTGTGCGGAGAATCTCCTTCTGTAGATCAGTCAAAGCGTATCCCTGACGACGCGTCTGTGTGACACTAGCATCTTTGGCCTGGGCCCAAATATAAGGGAGCTCAGCCATGGCTACCTACAAAATAGAACCAATTTTAAATCGTTATTATCCTGATTAAGAACACAAAACCAACCTGTATCTTTGCTTCAGCACTGGTGGCATGTAGCCTTAAGATCTGTATAACCACCGAGTAGCGATCCATAACTGGCAGACGAAACTCCGCCTCAAGAAAACGCTTCTGAGCGAAAGATAGCGTGCCCTTGCTGACGAACAAGCAAGTGAGTTGTCGTTCTGTACGCAGTTCAGCGACCAGCTCCTTGAGTTCCGCCAGCTTTCCGCTGCCAAAAAGAGTTTTCTTCTCGAGGCTTTCCAGCGGAACTTTTAAGCCCCTGGCCACCTGCCAATTGGGAAGTGAGTGGATAAGAGCAGAGGCCTCCGCGAGTTGATCCTCCGGCCGGACATCAACGGGTGTACTCTGGCGCTTTGCAGCCCACTTCACATATGGCTGGAGGATGAGTACTTGCTGGGAACTGGTGATATCACGGGTGATTCGCATAGCTCCTCCAGCAACCTCATCATAGGCTCTAAAGTAAAAAGGAAATTATGACAAATGCTTTAGTTACTAAATAATTTCTTAAATATTTTAAACCTACCGATCATCTAAGAACCTCATATCGGACATATCACCAATGCAAGGCCGCTCCTCTTGCTCCAAATTCTCACTATCCTCACTTCTGTGACCAGCTTGAATTTGGGCCTCGAAGAAGCTTTTCCTATTGCGAATGCCCTTAACTCCTTGATGTTGGGTGTACTTACAGCGTAATGGAATCATTCCAACAGGTCGAAGAGGAAGAATTCTTGCCATACGGTTGAATATCCGCATAGCAGACATGACTTAAGCTAATTAAGAATATAATGATGAAAATATATATCTAAAAGGTCTTCTCGTTCAGCACTGAATGCTTTTCCTCAAAGGCCATCCAAGATGCTTGACAGGATTTAGTGCGGGTCGAAGTTGTTTGGTAAGAGACTCCAGTGGCCACCAGTGATGAAATCAATATATTGTACTTGGCTGGATAACGAATACGGGATTGTACAATTTTCTGAGCGAAATATGTGCCAGAAAAACCTGTAATTTGTGTAATTATTATGCAATTATGCAAAAAAGGAAGGAGAGGAGATACATACTCAAACAAAATGTTGCTAGTCCTGTGAACAAGGAGCGCGTCATGCAGTCAATGTAACCATCAAATCCTGGATGCCTCTCACGCTGCTGATCCTTCAATCGCTTAATATCGTTCATAATAAACGGTTAGTAATTCAGCTTTATTGGTATTTTCATTAGCTTTGCTGCCGGCAAGTGAACAGAACAGCTGTTCTAATCACTAGAGGTGAGCAAACGAATAGCCGTAGTATCGCTAAGGAGAAATATAGTTATTTTATGATAACCTCATCACTGTTAAATCTTTGGTAAAATATTTAAAAAATTACCCAATGATTTGCCTACAAATCCAGGATTTGATTTTAAATATTATTATGAATATTTAATAAGCAACCACCTAGGCATGTTTTTATCGCAGTATTTAAGCCACCGATAACAACACATATCGATAGAACTATGATAAACATGGCAACCCTGGAATAGTTTAGTATACCCAAGTTGCAATTTGCGGCGGCTTAACGCGAAAAAATAACAATTAAACCGTCGCGAAAAACAGTTTAAATAGCCGTCGGACGCAATGAAGAGCCCACGGAGCCAGTAGCAGGTGATAACAGCAGCTTATCAAGATTTCCAGAACTTTTTGAATCGAAAGTAGAGGGGCTTTAGGATAAATAATAGATGTACAACTAGTGCCGACGCCACACACAAAAAAGAGACAGACGCAGATTGCAAAAAAAGGCGAAGAACGGGAAAGAAGAAGAGCGATAGAAAGAAAGAAAGAAGAAGAAGAAACGAAGCGAAGAACGCGCGGCAAATGCTGACAATAAAAAAAATTAACATTACTTTTTGCAGGTTTTGAAAAAAAAACCAGTAACGCAACCAAATCGACTTTCTTGCAGATCTTTAACGTGTTGGGCGGACAAACAGCCGGTAACCTATGGGAAAGAAAAAACCCAACGCCCGTCACACAGATGCCGCAACACCTTTGACCACAGACGACTCCAACAGCCCATCCGTATCTGCGTCCGAATCGGAATCAAAATCCGATTCTGAAACCTCAAAGTCGAGAAAGAAGCAGTCCAGGTCACCTGAAAATGTCAAGGCATCCAGGAAAGTCAGAATCAACAGCTCCAGTGATTCCGAGCAGGCAGTAGCAAACAATTCGCCAAAGGAAGAGGAAGAGCCTGTTTTTAAGATTCGAATTGTACCGTTGGAGAAACTGCTGGCCAGTCCCAAAACAAAGGAGAAGCCTTCACGAAGGAGTGATCTCAAGGTTACTACCATCGATTCCAGCGACAGCGAGGAACCTCCAAAAAGAAGGAAATCCCCATTGCCACCGCGTAACAGTCGCAACAAGAGCGTTTCTATTATAGAACTAAGCGACAGTGAGGAGGACGATCATTTCGACAAAAAGGCAGAGCAGATACAAGAAAAGCAGGAAGAGGATAACACATCCAAGCCAGCCAAGAAATCCTCCAATAACCAGGAGGAACAGCCCAAAAAAGAGAGTGCTACCAGTAGGGCATCCAAGAAGTCAATCGATAGCCAGCAAGAGGAGTCGCAAGAAGGTAGCACATCCAGTAAGGCATCCAAAAAGATCATCGAGAGCCAGCAGGAGTCCGAGGAAGATAGCACATCCAGCCGGGCATCGAAGAAGACTAACAATAACCAAAAGGAGAAGCCTGAAAAAGCCAGCACATCCAGCAAGGCAATTAAAGAAGCCACTAAGAACAGGAACGGCAGGCGTCGGAAGTCCCTCTCCAGCGATTGTTCCTCTAAAGCCAGCACCTCCAGAGCAGCATCTCCACTTAGCAAAAAACGCACATTAAACAAGGCAGCCAAGAAGGCCATCGAGAGCGAGTCGGACGAGCCTGAAGAAACCAGGCTCATCAAGCAGGGCAGCCAAGAAGGGCATCGAAAGCGATCAGGAAGAGCTAGAAGAAAATAGCAAATCCAGCAGTGGATCAACGAAGGGCATTGAAAGCCGGTCCAAGCCCGAAGAAACAAGCAAATCCAGCAGAGCAGCAAAGAGGATCAATAGTAAGCAGAAGAAGACCGAGGAAGCCACTAAAACCAAAAACGGAAGGCGTCGACAATCCTTGTTCAGCGATTGGACATCCTCCGAACCCAGCACACCTAGAGCATCATCTCCACTTAGGATAAAACGCTGCGTGGTGCGCCTGAAGCGCGTCAGCCTGTCCAAGACAAAGCCCGCCCAGGAGCCCAGGAAAATGAGCACCGACTCGGAGGAGGCTGCCACTACCTCGAAGAAGAGCAGGCAAAGGCGCTCCAAAAGTGAAAGTGATGCAGAATCTGAATATGAAGCTCCTGAAGCGGAGGAAGAGGAAAGAAAATCCTCCGAAGATGAACAGGAGGTCAATAGTAGCGATAGCGAGGTAATACCGCAGCGAAAACGGCGTCGCAAGAAGAGCGACTCCGAAAAGGGTTCCTCCGACTTCGAGCCAGACGAAAAGCAGAAAAAGAAGGGTCGCAAACGCATCAAAAAGAACTCCAGCGGTGAGAGCGATGGTGATGGTGACGATGACAAGCAGAAGAACAAGCGCAAGCACATACGGAAGATCATCAAGACCAAGGACTTGGATCTCACAACCAAGGAGGCGGCCAAAGAAGAGGATGATCGAAGGAAACGTATCGAGGATCGTCAGAAGCTTTACAATCGCATCTTTGTGAAGTCCGAGAGCGTGGAAATTAACGAGCTGATTTTAGATTTCGACGAAGATTCCAAGAAGGCCTTGTTACAAGTGGACAAAGGATTGCTGAAGAAACTAAAACCCCATCAAGTGGCAGGCGTAAAGTTCATGTGGGACGCATGTTTCGAGACGCTCCAGGAGAGCCAGGAAAAGCCCGGCTCCGGCTGCATTCTTGCCCATTGCATGGGTTTGGGCAAGACCTTGCAGGTAGTCACCTTATCGCACACGCTGCTTGTCAACACCAGGCGCACCGGTGTGGATCGCGTCCTGGTTATCTCACCTCTCAGCACAGTGAACAACTGGGCCCGGGAATTTACCAGCTGGATGAAATTCGCCAACCGCAACGATATCGAGGTATACGACATCTCACGCTACAAGGACAAGCCAACGCGCATCTTCAAGCTCAACGAATGGTTTAATGAGGGCGGCGTCTGCATCCTCGGCTATGACATGTACCGCATTCTGGCCAACGAAAAAGCCAAGGGCCTGCGCAAGAAGCAACGTGAACAGCTCATGCAGGCCCTGGTTGATCCCGGTCCAGATTTGGTAGTCTGCGACGAGGGACATCTGCTCAAAAACGAGAAGACCTCAATCAGTAAGGCGGTCACTAGGATGCGCACCAAGCGCCGGATTGTTCTTACCGGCACACCACTTCAAAATAATCTCAGAGAATGTAAGTTTTGTGGGAAATTCCAGTAAGATTAGTAATAATTAATTATTTTCTTATCAGTCCAAATAGCTTTTTTTTTTCGAAATTGGTCTCAAGAGATTCATATTATGGGTTTCAGGGGATTTCATGATTTTTAAGACCATAAAAAGAAAGATTGTTATCAAGAGCTTGAGTTTTTGTTATAGACATTAAATTAAACGTATATTTACTTATTCATTGAAATATATTAACCTATTCATCTTATTATAGATTACTGCATGATTCAGTTTGTTAAACCGAATCTGTTGGGCACGTACAAGGAGTACATGAATCGCTTTGTCAACCCGATCACCAATGGCCAATACACGGACTCCACGGATCGGGATCTGCGCCTTATGAAACACCGATCACATATTCTGCACAAGCTGCTCGAGGGTTGCATCCAGCGGCGGGATTACTCGGTCCTGGCTCCTTATCTGCCTCCAAAACACGAATACGTGGTCTATACAACGCTATCAGAGTTGCAGCAAAAGCTCTATGGCTACTACATGACCACGCATCGAGAACAGAGCGGATCGGATGTGGTTGGAAAGGGAGCAAGGTTGTTCCAGGACTTTCAGGACTTGCGACGCATCTGGACGCATCCAATGAATCTAAGGGTGAACAGTGACAACGTTATTGCCAAAAGGTTACTCAGCAACGACGACTCTGATATGGAGGGTTTCATTTGCGATGAGACCGACGATGATGAGGCTGCCTCCAACTCGTCGGACAGCTGCGACACCTTCAAGTCGGACGCCAGTATGTCGGGAGTAGCTGCCAGTTCAGGAAAGACGAAACACCGCAAGACCCGTAACGGAAGGGCTGCTGGTGGCGACAGTGATTCCGATCTGGAGCTAAATAGTGGATTGGGTGGAGGATCTAGTGCCCAGAAGGATGATCCTTCGGAATGGTGGAAGCCATTCGTCGAGGAGCGAGAGTTGAACAACGTACACCATTCCCCAAAGCTACTCATCCTCTTGCGGTTACTGCAGCAATGTGAGGCCATTGGTGACAAGTTGCTCGTTTTCTCGCAGTCCTTACAGTCCCTTGATGTCATCGAGCACTTTCTGTCACTGGTGGACAGCAATACTAAGAACTACGAGTTCGAAGGTGGGTTTACGTTCATCAAAGAGATAGTTATCTGAACATCGTCTTGCGGATACGATATTAATTTTTGATTTATTGCAGGCGATGTAGGTGATTTTAAGGGCTGCTGGACGAATGGAAAGGATTACTTCCGATTGGACGGCAGCTGCAGCGTGGAACAACGTGAGGCTATGTGCAAGCAATTTAACAATGTGACGAACTTGCGAGCCCGCCTATTTCTTATCTCAACTCGGGCCGGTGGACTGGGTATCAATCTTGTGGCCGCCAATCGCGTTGTCATCTTTGATGTTTCATGGAATCCTTCCCACGACACTCAGAGCATATTCCGTGTTTATCGATTTGGACAGATTAAACCTTGCTACATCTACCGTCTAATTGCTATGGGCACCATGGAGCAGAAGGTTTATGAACGACAGGTGGCTAAACAGGCTACGGCTAAGCGTGTGATCGATGAACAGCAGATTTCGCGGCATTACAACCAGACGGACCTTATGGAGTTGTACTCATATGAGCTGAAACCCAGCACTGAGCGGGAGATGCCCATCCTGCCCAAGGATCGGTTATTCGCAGAGATTCTCACAGAGCACGACAAGTTAATCTTTAAGTATCACGAGCACGATTCGCTGCTGGAACAGGAGGAGCATGAGAATCTGACGGAGGAGGAGCGGAAATCGGCATGGGCCGAGTATGAGGCGGAAAAGACTCGAACGGTCCAGGCGTCGCAGTATATGAGCTACGACAGGAACGCCTTTGGTAACCAAGTGATGGGACAATTCGGCAATGCCTCCGGCAGCGTAACATCTAACAAGATCTTCGGCTTCCGGTCAGACATCTTGCTGCAGCTGCTGAACATGAAGATATCCAAAGACCATCCGGAACTCAACCAGAATCAGGTCATTCAGCTGGTGCCTACCTATCTGCAGCAGCTGTACAATGAGATGAACAATGGCGATCCAACAATGTACAAGGATCTCCTGAGCCTGCACTCAAATATAGTCCATCCCAGCGGGATGTATATGAATCCACTTCTCTACGCCAACCAGCATCCAAATGCTGCGGGTTATAACCAGGCAAGTGGTGGCCCGCCAGGGCCAGGTGGACCGGTTGTTCATGCGCCACCGTCAGCACCTGCTCCGGGCTTCGAACCGGACACGGTATACGAGATCGACTAAAAGATACCCGAATCAAACCAATGGCAATGGTTACACTCTTTAATTTAATCGTAGGTAATTCGTCGACCTTGTCGATATTTCCTTTGGACTAAAATTACAAATGTGGTTTATCCTATCTAATTACCAATTACCAATTTACCCATAACCGAGCGCATAAGATGATTATACTTTTTATCAACTCAGTTAAGTTCAAAACTGTCCTAATTCATGTGTAGACTTACATTAGATACGATTCAAAAACAAAATATGCATCATATGATTTATACACATATTTACACAATATAGACCATGGCTATATACATACATAATGCGAATCCGGCTAGGAGATGCACGAAATTATTTAACACGCGACAAGATAACAAAAATAAATGGCACAGATATTATAATAAATGCGAAACGATTTTCTCCTCAAACTAAATGTTTTACAGAAATGGGGTAAATAAAAATAATAAGCTTCCCCTTTTCAATGAAAATGAAATTCATTTAGAGAATTAATCAGTTTATTTAACTAAAAGTAGCCTAAGCCGGATCTATACAAAATTACATGCTAGGATGGATCTCATTTCCTAATCATTTTGGCCTGCCCATCATGCGAAGCTGTTGCATCTGCTGGGCCTGCAGCATGTGCTGCGGACTTGGCTGCATGGGACCGCCGGGTTGCATCGCTCCAGGTGGCATTCCGGGCATCATTCCTGGGCGCGGAGGTACACCGCCCATGGGTGGCATTCCGCCACCGGGACCTTGCAGCATTCCAGCTCCGATGGGCGGCGTGGGGCGACTGTGTACTCCCTGTTGGATGTCCGAGAGGCAGGCCTTCCACTCCTCCAGGCGATTGTAGTGTTTCTGTAGGAGCGCCTCTTTGCGCTGGATCTCGATGCTCAGGTCTTGGTTCTCGTCTTTGATCAGCATATAGGGCTTCAGCGTGGAGACGAGGAAACGCTTTTGCAGGAAGAAAGCCTCCATTTGGCGCGCCACGTCTATGAAGCGATTTGTGGTCTTCTGTACCTCTAGCTCGATTTCCTCCTTGTTCGTCCCGGAATTCGGTTCCTGCTTGGTCAGGGACAGCAGGCACGACTGGAAGGCCTCCTCAAACTCGTCCATCAAGTTTCCGCTACCGGGTTCGTTGCTAGCCATGATTTTAAGGGTTAGGCAGTCGGTTTAACGATTACAAGTTAACTATATAGCCGGCTAAGAGGGAACAACAAAAATTAGCAACAGAATTTTAGCAGGGTTGCCTACGTCTTGCAAAGTGCGTTAGTGATGACAGTTGCCGCTCATCGTTAAAGGTGTTCTCTAATATTCAAATTGTTGATTTTAAAATTAAATATCAAATTACATTTTAAAAACTAGAAAACTCTTTAAGATCTTAATTTGAACCATGAAAATTCTAGTATTTGTGATTAGTTATCAAGCCCCATTTACAAGTAAAACTGATTATCATAGGTATATCGATTATTGATAGATGTGATAGATTTCCCATCTCTAGATTGCATGCGGCGCGGCGGTTTTATATAAACAAAGAATTAATTTTCCAAGTGATCAAAACCTATCCAAAGGGATGACCGCTCGAATGATCCAACGCGGTCTTCACACGGCCCGTTCCTGTCTTTTGGCAAGAGTTCCTCGCCGGGCCAATCCCGGCCTGGGTTACCAGCTCCAGCAGTTGCAAGAGCATCCGGCCAAGACCCCCGAAGCTAACGAGGATTACGCCGATCTGGAGTCTGATTTCATGGGAGTGCAGAAGACCCACCGGCAGTACGAAAAGGAGCAACAGCAGCAGCGGGACCGCATCCGTCAGTTTATGATCAAGCACAAGTACTTTCGGGACTCCAAATTACCAAATCTTTTACTACACGCGGAAAAGGAGCAGATGCGCCTGCTTCATGGGCGCGATCCCGAGGAGTGGAATGTCGAAAGGTTGGCCGAGAGTTTTCCCGCTACTCCGGAAATAGTCCAGAAAATTCTGAGGGCGAAATGGCGACCAAGGAGTGTACAAAGGATCCGCTCCCACGATGAAACCGTCATCCAAAATTGGAAGCTACTGAAAGCAGGAAAGGGTGACTTCAATATCCCACATGCTCTTCTTCAGCATCTTCAGAAATTTGCCGAGAGAAGGCACAAGGATTTAAAAGAACTAAAACCGCACGATTGGCCTACAAAACAACAACTACCTACTCCTCAAGGCAATGAATTTCGTAAGCTTCTAGGCAGTACTAGTTCCACCACGGAAGAGCTTCCTCCGCCACAAATCCCATCTGGCTATGAACCTCCACCATCCGCTGCCGAAGATGAAACCTATCTGCTGGATAAAATACGCAATAAAAAGAAAATGCGTCTCCAGGATCTTAAAGACCAGAAGCTAGTTGAGTCGGCTCCCAAAGTTCCAGATGAACTGCAGCGTCCCATTGAAAATCCCAGTGGCACAGGGTTCCTCCCCAGCTTCGTTCCCAAGTTCGAAAGCAGCGAGATTGTGATCAGTGCAGCTGATCAACGAAAGTATGAAATAACCCAGGTGAAAACCCGCATTGTTATTCCCCGAAAGCTGCATCGCGAAGGAGCCACCTATCGCGTTGAGGATGCCTACTACGATGATGATGGGGAGCTACTCTACCGTGTGCCTGGAATGACGGGAGCCAAAGGTGGTAATTAGTTATGAGGCTTTTTATATGGTAGATCCGAAAGTTAAGTTCAAGAAATATTAATTTAGAAAAGGACACGTAGTAAAATTCGAAAATGGTTTAATAACAAGATTTTTTAAAGATATTTATATAAAAATATATATATATTTAATTTGATACATAGATTCTTGGTTACTTGGTGGTCAGTGGTTGAAGGCGGTGGCGATCAAATCGCTGCCCGCCATTAGAGAGTCAGATGCCACGGTGATTTGGGCGCCCGTAAGCTTCGCCACAAAATCGCAGGCGGCGATTTCTGCATAGCTAGCACCTCCCACGACAAAAACAAAAAGATTTCTAAGGCGCAATGGAAAAATATCTTGATCTCCATTTCCGCTGACCTTTAGTTGGTTAGCAAAGGCCTTTGGTGTGGTTTTACCAGTGTCCAAATGGAGGTGCAATCCCTCAATCATTTCCAGTTTTAAGGATAACTCCTCTGCACTGTTAGTTTTTAACAAAACCGAACAGAGCTGCGCCACCAAAGGGATGTAAGTACCATTAAACACAAAACTGGGACAGGATTGCAAGGCGCCAGCTTGGCCTTTAGAAGAGGAGCCACCATCTGGCCCATCTCCACAGGATGTTAACAGCTTAAGTCGATTGGCATTGGCCTGAAATTCGGTTTGTTGGAATTTGGGCAGCGGTAGATTGGAAAGCAGTTTGGTTGGCGCTTTCTTCTCCGCCAAAAGTGGTGGCAATAATCCCGCCTGCGACAATTGCTGGAACACACCCAATTCCTGGTGACCAAAGAGATTACAGTAGTTTCTTGCAAAGATCTGCAGCTCTTCGGGAGCCACTCCTACGCAATGATGCAAAAGGCACAGCAATCGTAGGGTATTAAATCTCTGACCATCAGTGGTCAACATCTCATCAATCTCGCTTAGCAATCGCTTCCGGGACACATTGTTCAATATGTCCTCCTCCAGCGTTTGCAACCTTCTAAAGTTACCCATCATTTTGATCACAATTTCACTGGCATTCAAATGCCTTAGGACTTTGCTTTTCAGCTCGGTGAGTTTTGGTAGCTTTCTGGCCACATAGTCATGCATCTCCTCCAGCTGCATGTCATTTAGCTTCTGGAGTTCCAAGCCCAGGGCTTTAACTTGTGCGTGGATTAAACTGCTGACCTGGGCAAACCGCCTGTAGCGATTATCAGCATAGATCTCATCGGATGAGGAGCTAAGGCGAATGGAGCATGGCTTGTTGGCTGTACTTAGTCCAACCTTGGCCTTTTTCCCCTGAAGTAACTCCACACGCTGGCTGCTAATCTTGTTCTTGGAAGTATCCACTATAATTTCCCCGGAACGCTGCTCGAAAACTTCCAAAAGAAGACCTGCATATATGGCCGGCGTGAGCAGGCTGGCAGCGTAATCCTTATCCCGATCGATGATTAGCCATCCTCCGTAGTCCGGAGGATTCTTAGATTCTGGAACCTTGCCAAGAGCCTTTAGCATTTGTAGTAGTTGGGATGAGTGGTTGCCAAAGCTCAAGATCAACGCTGGTTGTCCGCAAATCATCTGAAGCAGCCGCAGACTTTGGGCCATTGAAGGCAATGGAGATGTGTTTCCTTGGAGGTAGAGGCACTCGTAGAGCTGTATAGAGGGATAATTTAATATAATACAACCTCTTCTACTAATATATATGAAATTTACTCACATTGGGCAGCTCCAAGCTGAGTACTCCTTGATCGAAGTATATGAAATCCCAGTTAAACTGATGAAGTTGGACTAGTCCGTAAAGACCAGCTTGTTCTAGGAGAGTTTGGAAATAGGAATAGCAACTGGGAATACAGACTATATGATACATCTTCAGGGAGACGTCCGGCATATCCTCTGAAGCCACCGGTTGCAATTGCTTGAGTAACGTCTGAAATTTGCCCAAAACACTGCGTATCATATAGATGTGCACCTGATCCGCGGATCGTGGTAAAGGCTGTGCGGCATCATGTTTGTAGATCCGCTGAATGCCCTTCAGCCTGAGATACATAAAATATAAATCCATCATAATCTTAAAATATACATAAAACGCTTACTTTAACCAGGAGGCAGTGACGACATGTTCGAGTGGCTTGATTAAGTCTGGCTCCAGAATCAACTCCTTTTTACCGGGTATGGAACATAGTATAGAGCAAAGCTGTAATGCATTTTTTTAAAGTTAATACCTGATCACTTATTACTTACTTTTTACCTTTTCCTGAGCCACCAATTGAAATCCCTGAAGCTTTTTGTCCAGCGTCAAATCCATTCTTCATTAAACAACAGAAACAGCTGATGCAACAAGGTGGACAAATGTAAGGTGATGCAGAGAAACCATAGTGACGTGATGCCAGATTCGGATTTTCCCACTAACAGTTTTGTTCATGCAATCTGGCAGTGTTAAATTTCGCGCTCACAAATGTTAAAAATGTTGCTAAGACATAATTTTTCTAGTAAAGTGAAGTTTCTTAGAGTTAGAGGAACAATATAACAATATCATTTTGGGAGTAAGAAACTACTTAAAACAGTAAAGATAAACCTTATTATATATTTGTTTTACGTTGATCAAATGCTGAATATATTGAGAAGAGTTTTTAGAAAAACGATGCCTTCTCGACATTTTAACATTTCTGTTAAGATGCAAATTAGAAAGACTTACAGAAAATAGAGAGAGAACAGCAATTGAGAGCCGAAATACAGTGTTGCCAGCTTGTTAAAAACCCGCTGTACTTAACGGGAAAATAGCGGATCTGGCAGCACAGCTGCTCCCCAAAAACACATCTCTGACTACACTTCCACCTTGTCTTCGCATTCATTTGCTTCTCTCCTTTGCGCGCGGTTCGTTCACTGGTGTAAAAATCGTCCTGTTCGCATTTATGTGTTTTTATCGTGATTCTGTCAACCGAAATCATATGTTTTTAGCCAGAAGAGAGAGACAACAAAACGGGTGGAGTTCTGCGGTGGAAAATTGAAAATTATCAAGCACACGGCACACACAGTGATTGAAGAGAATGAAAATATAATAAAAATATGGTTAGCCATTCGAAAACCGTGGAATAAAATCGTGCAAAGAAAACCAGAAAACAAAAAATTGTTATCGCTCTCTCTCTCTCACTGCGATTTGTGTTTATGTCTCAGCTGTCTGAGTGTGTGTGCGGCCCGTGTGTGTGTGCCAGTGTGTGTGACGTATGTGCGTGCAAGTGTTTGTGATTTTATGTTGTTGTTTTGCCTGCTTTCGCATGAAATTCAACGATAACAACAACAAGAGCAACACCAACAGCCAACAACAAATTTAAATTGAGATTTTCCATTAAATCCAAAGTTACAGGCAGAAAATTTCCAGCTATCAGGTGAGCTTTAATTTACTTTGTTTATAAATATAAATAGAATTTGGCGAATGTGGGTGAAATCGGTGCAAAAATAAATGTGAAAATAACTTAAATAGTTGATCTAATGACAAAAATAACCGAGCGTTTGCTGTTGTTGTTTTGGTGATATTGCAGCTTGTTGCATGTTCTTGGCTTCCTTTTTGGGCCTCAGATTCGTCTCTTTTTTTATACCGCGCTCTCTATTTCTCACTCTCCCTCTTTAATGCAGTTTTACATTTTTGCCTTTGTCAATCATTATCTCTAAGTTTTCTTTTTTTTGTTCTTATGTTTTTTTTTTTTTGTTTTAATGCCTAACATTATTTTCTTATAGTCGGTATGTGTGTGTCTTCTTTGCGTTTTCTTTGCGGTTAGTTTGTTGTTGTGATACCGGTTTCAGCGGCTGTCCCGCTCTGGCCCGTTGCACAGGTTGCCGTTTAGTTTACTTTTAGTTTTTCTATTCTTTGCGCTCCTGTGCGTTTTAATCGCATCTTCTTCTTCCCGCTCATCTTCCTAATGTCCGTGTGTTTTTGCTGTTGTTTTGCCCCTCCCAATTATGCTTTATTTGTTTGTGTTTCCCTCTCTCTTCCATTAAAAGTTAATTTTTCTAATGTCGTCTTATAATTTATTGGGTTTTTTTTGCGGCCTTTAAATTTTGCATATCATTTAAAAGTTTAATTTAAGCAGGCTGTTCAACCTCAGTTAATTGCCTTCTTCGAGTTTTTAAAACGTTTTTGCTTAACTAATTTGTCTCTTCTTTGAACACGATTTTAATAGAGATTGTTCTTTATTCGAGAAGTTGCTTTAGAATGTTCTCGTTATTTAATAGTTTTATAAGAAAGTAATGGATAAAAATGTATTATTAGGTTAACATTACATTTAAAGATAAGAACAAAGTTATAAAAATAAAATAAATGATTAACGTATAACCTCCGCCCTTCTATTTTATCTTAAGTAAGAAATGCGTAATTTCCATTTAATTTTATGAGTTTAGTAACATTTTTTTCTGATAGTGAGTCTGCTTTTGAAAGTACTAGAAAGTGTAAAAATATGATTCATAAAGAAATCCCAGAGGAATTTACGAGTATTTTTATATAGCTTCCGTTTATACTTAGCACAGCTAATAAAGTTCTAGGCGAGTAATTTATGTTTTCCTGTACAGATTTTGAAAATCTTAAGCTAATCAATTAGCAATGATATTATTGCTTTTCTATCCGCTTTAGCTAACTAAAAGAAACTTAAAGATATTTATATGTTGCTTCACTTACAACATGTGGGTTATTATCAGTTCATAGCTTACTCATACGTATATAACTATTATTACCTATTTAATCTTAGTTTTAGAGGGTAAAAATATGAAAATATATAAATGCATTGTGTAAAAACTTATTACATTTTCTTGATCACTTTTTCTAGAACACTTTTGAATGACTAAGGATAAAGTTAATTGCTGATTACGATTACTTATCGGTAGATTTGTTTAGAAACTAAGAAATTGTAAAGGGCAATCATGAATAGTGACTAATACAGTTGAGTTTATCGAGGCCGTCGGGGTTTCTTAATTCGATTTCTCATCCAAAATGCGCTTCACTCGTCCAATAAAAACAATAATAACCAGCAAAGCAAATCGAAATCGAAATAATTCATTTGCATTTAGGTAAATAAACAAGACCATCGCCCGAAGGTGATTCCAATCACACCCCCATAAATTCTCTGGCAAAAAAAAGTTCGGCACTAATTAAAACCAGAAACAAATTACACAAGCAACTTCAAGAGAGAGAGAGAGAGAGAGAGAGAAAAGAATTTGTGTAAACAGAAATGATTTTTTGAAAAGGAAAACAAAAAGCATTTTTGCAACGTGCGTCGCTTTTGCTATGATGCTGCCCCCCCTCAAAGAGCATTCTCGTTTTTGTGCTCGTTGTGCGGAGGCGTGTGAATTTTCGTCAGTTTGATGTCTGTTTTTGCTCTGCTCATTTCTACGCTCACACATCAAACCCAATTAGTATTGTTCTTCTGTTGGCATATGGCAAATATTTCCATTTGTCTGTTTCTATATGTACATATAAATTGCTTTGTATTAGCTCCGTTTCCCTTTCTTTTCCTCTTTTTTATCTGTTTGGAGTAAGTCTTTGGGGTAATGTGCTTAAAAATGTATATTTTTCACATACTTCGCGGTTCTATTTTTGGCCAGCTTTTCGGCACACTTTTCGGCTTTACTTTTGGGCACACATGACGGAGGCTGTAGTTTTAAGTAAAATGATTTTACATGTTCTTTGTGAGGAATTACGTTTTTAAAAAAGTCTCATTTATGTGACGTTTATGAGTTTTCTTTTAAGATCATTATAGAATAAGTTGTATTTTATGTACATAAGTATCGAGTTTTGGTCATGTTCTTCTACCTTAAAACCAATACTCTCTTTATAATATTATAACTTTGAAATTAACTGAGATAATCGAAAGTAACATTAAGCAAATATTCTATATCTAAATCCAACTAATTCAACTTATTTTTGGTACAACAAACTGTGACACATAACAAAAGCGAGTATTTTATTTTAGCAAACTCATCAAAAAACCGCAAACAATCGCGGCATGTCGCACTCATGCGTTTCTTCCCATTAGGGTGACTCACACCGATGACAAGACAAGTAACAAAGAATTGACGAAAGAATTGCGCCGCCGCTTCTTTATTTCTTTAGCATTCTTCATTCTACAGTTTGCCTCATTTTGTAATTTTTTAGGGCGCAAGCACTGAGCCATGTTTGTTTTTCTTTTGCCGAAGAGCAAGAGAATGGCGAAAGTGAACCCTCCCTGAGATATGGGATATGGTATATATGGGATATAGAATCTGCGATGGATGACTGGGGCTACCGGCTGACGTATAAAAAGTGTGTGTTTGCCTGCCTTGAGCAAAGTATTTTGGCGCGTGTCCAAGTAGAAACAAAGAAAAGCAAAGAAGGTGCGGCGAATACAGCGAATAAATCAGCAAAATGGTTATTTGCCACTATGTCTGTGCAACCGACCGCGTCCAGGCCTAGGAAATTAACTAAGAAAATATGTAGAGAGATAGAATGTCTATAGCTTAACGCTCCAGATGAAATAATTAACAATTCATTCTTTTTGAGATTTCTTAAAATATAAAAAAATGCGCTATTTTAAGAGGCTGAAGGACACATTTTTGACTAAAGAGTTAAAGAAATCTTCAATAATTTGAATTATATACAAAATTTATTAAAAATTGAAGAATATCTTGCTCACTTGCAAAAGAATAAAATTCATTTTAAAATATACAAATCAATTTTGCACTTATTTTTAGATTAATGTAAATATAAACATTTGATAGATAAACATCTTTGATCTTTGGCCATTGCAAATTCTCGACTTTGGCCCATTTCAAACGTTAAGATATTGCTAATTAAATTGGAAATTCTGAGGAAAAATGGTATGCAAAGCAGCTAGTCAGCCATTAGGTTAACTTGTTTCGACACGGGCAATTCATTTGGACAACCCACCTGCCCGCCGGCCTCACCTACCGCTCCACCTTTTCACACCAGCGGCTTTCACAAGTCCGGGGTTTTCACATCTTCCTATTAGCCGCAACCGAAGCGGCAGAGGCAGGGGCAGGGGCAGCCTAGCCGGGAAATGACGACACTCGAACGATGAAGAAAAATCGGATTTCTTTCTGGTCTGGTCTAGCCTGGTCGTGCAATCTCGAGTTTAGTTCCCTCGAATTTCTCACCTTTCTCAGCAATTTGAGCGCGGCAAGCGGCAAACGGCAATGGCTACAGCAACGGCAACGTGCCACGCATAGCTGAGAAGGCGGAAAAGCGTTTGACGCGACTCCGTCTCTGTATTTTCCCTCGATTTCCCTCAATTTTCTTCACACCCCCAACAACGTCCTTTGTTTATTCGGTTCAGTTTAAATTTCCCGCGATGTCGCCGGCCAAAAAAAAAAGAAAGAAAAGAAAGGAAAACAACAGCCAAACGAAAAACGGAACCGACTAGTTAAGTTAGCTCTCTTAGAAAGTGCCGACATGGAAGACCAGTGTTGGCGGAATTTGTACAGAAACTTAGTTGGCAAATAAACAAATGTTTTAGAGTAAACTTAATACGTTATGAAAGGATTTATTGTAAGAGGAGTACATATACTTATGAGAAAAGAAAGGATAATGCTTCCAACTTAGTTAAAAAGGAAGGAAAATATGAAATACTTACTATTGGTTTGATAGAACTGATACGATTTTAAATCATTCTGATTAAAATATAATAAAAATATCTATATCTGAATAAAAAATCTAAATGGCATCACTATTTCAGAGTTTTTCTATGTATTTCGCAAATAATAGAAACCGAAACAAAAGGCTAGATTTGAGCAATTGAAACGAGCTGAACTCTTTTTATTTTGAACTTTGACTCAGCAGAAATTTCTTTTGTTTTCCATTTGGCTAGTTACGGGAGTAGACTCCAAAATTGCTAATGCAACTGGACCGGATATCGCAGATTTTGCGTTTATTTTCGGTTTAATTAGCTGCATTAAGCGACATTTACTTGTATAATTTTCCTTGGTTTTTTCTTAGTGATAATTATAGTTGATCTTGTAGAGTTAATATCTCCTTCAAATAACAGCTAAAAATAGTAAATTAACAGTACTAAAAGTAATTGAAAAATCATATTTGCTCTTTCAAGATTTCAAAAATGCAAGTTCCCTCCTTTTGGGGCAAAATAAAAGAGAAACCAAAGCACGAAAATCTATCGATGCATTCTGTTCAGTCAACCGAGTTGACATTTGCTAACAAAATACGCTGGAAAATATGAACAAGGAAAACTGTTTATATGTTTGTTTACCAACAGAGCACACTAGTTCACTTCCACATTTCTCGAATGTCGAAGAAATGTTGCACACGAAAATATTGTATATAGATATAGATATATATTTGAAAAGCTTCTGCATTTTAACACATGATTTCATATGCAAATATGAACAA